TTGATGTCTGGAAAGCTGCGACCTTGTGTGGGTGTTTATTTGTATTGCGATTTGTTTGACCGTCTTCCTTACTGCAAATTAAAATAGGTACCGTAAATTATAATCCATACCTCGTTGCAAATTAAATTTTTTGAACTTCAATAGTGCCTAGGTACCTATATTAGTATTAGTTTTGATAGTGTAATAATTGTCCCAGCGTGGTGACTTGCGTAACGCATCATAGAGATTTCAATGTAACATTCATAACATGCGATTATTGGCTCCCCAAAATATTTTAGAGCAAAAATGTATTAAAGTTTTTTGTAGAATTTTTTTTTACACCAATCAACCGTATTAGTTTTCAATTTTTTGCCTAATAAAGACGGAAAATTGGAAAAATTAAACCCCCATCTTTTTCAATCATCTGTGATGCCATGGAATTTTAAAATACAAAAACTACGCCAATATTCGTCATGCCATGGAATGTCTGCTATAAAACAAATCAAATTCCATCAAAAAGTATTATATTTAGAACAGCGTATTCAACATAAAGAAAGACCAAATTACTAAAAACGATTTCCTAATATAACAATTTACAATAAATGTTCGAATAAGTCACCATTAACTGGAAGACAGTAACCAAGTTGATCATAAAATCCATTTCGATCTGCTGCTAATTGAGAACTGGTTATCTTTTTGTTTTAGAAAATTCCTCGGAAAATTCCGTGGCATCGCAGATTATTGAAAAAGATGCGGGCTTTATTTTTCCAATTTTCCGTCTTTATATGAAAAAAATTGAAATCTAATACGGTTGATTGGCGTAAAAAAATTTTTTTACAAAAAACTTTAGTACGTTTTTGCTCTAAAATAATTTGGGGAGCCAAAATCGCATGTTATGAATTTTACATTGAAATCCCTATGATGCGTTACGCAAGTCACCACCCTGTATATTACTAGTTTACAAAAGACCAATCCTCGAATTTAAGACATGGGGAAGAAAGATACAAATCTATATTTAGGTATAAACGGCATACAACATTTAAAAAAATCATCGGTATATGTACATGTACCGTATGTCCACGGATTGACTTTTACTATACTTTTTGAGAAAAATGCATTCTCCATAAAAGCTTTTGCTTGTTCTAATTCGAAATAAAATAATCTTGAAATACGTTATTTGAAATTGATGTCTTTTATTATTTAAAAAGGGCATCTCTAAATAGTATATTAAGATACAAGTGTATAATCAAGTCTTTAAAGCACGCGCAACGAGTTTAAGGGCACGACGCAAAGCGGAGTGCCTTTAACGTTGCAAGTGCTTTAAAGACCAATTATACACGTGTATCTTATAGTATTTTTTATTATACCTGCAGTATAATTTAAAAATAGGAAATACAATGAAGTCATATTGACGTTATACTCGAATACATGTCTAATTAAGTGGGCTGGGTGTTCGTAATTTCACGATTGCCATGGAAATGTCACTTGACGTTTGCTTATAAAAATCATCGTCTTTGTGAATTAAACGATTTCCGTTGAAAAAGATAATACACCGTCCATTAAATCGATTGTTGTAAAATCTAAACAAAGGTGTAAAATCCAACTTCAGTAAAGCCTATTATAAAGAATATGAAAAGTTGTTTCCATGGATGAATAGGAAGTTACTTACGAATACAGTCTTAAATGCATCCATAATGCTGGCATATATGAAGGAAATGTCAAAGGTATTTAAATCTTCTATATTTTGGTGCATTCATTCAAAACTTTAAAGCAATGCTGCGATTAAAAAGTGGAACAGATTTGGAAGCATACCCTAAATTACGCGCGTTTGTGAAAGCTTCAACCAAAGGATAGGTACAAAAGCCAAAGAAATGTTCTGCATTTACAGAAAGCGACCTAAGAGGATTTTTTATTTCATCCAGATGACAGTTTCAAAAGTCATACTTGAAGTACCGTTACTTAGCAACTTTAAAGCACGTGTGTTTTAAAGGCCCTTTTTCGCACGCATTTGAGTGTTTAAAACGGAGATTGTGATTCAGGTATAATAAAAAATTAAATTGTTATTTGGTTGTAATTCAAGCTACAGATATTATACTTTGTTTCAATAACACTTAATAAATCTCATAATTAACATAGGTCAAACAAGTTTTTACTACTAATTAAATCTATCTGTGCAAATTGGGAGAAAAAAAATTGGGAATTCCTAGAGACTTCTTAGAAATTCCCAGAGAATTCCTGGGAATTCCCAAAGATTTCCCGGAAATTCCCAGAAACTACCCACGATTTTCCATATTCATGATACTTATGGGGGAGTTCAAGCCGGATTAGGCACTTAAACCCGAGCTTATAGTCAGCGATTTTCGAGGCGATTTTAATAAAACTGTTGTTTGTTTTAAGCCTTAATACTTTACGTGTGCGCGCGCCCAGAAAAAATCACAGAGCTAAACCTGGACGAGATCCCATCGTCATTTTGCCACATTTGAAAAGTAGAAAGTTTAAGCTTTGTTTTAAGCCTAATTACCATTTAACAAAAAGTGAGTAACTTTTCGAAAAAAAATTTTCATGTCATGTCTAAACTGTTCTTCCTAAATATGGATAACTGATGCCTATCAAAGATTTCAATTGACTAACAAACATAGCTAATACCCTCGCTAATACCATTTTTGTTTTAGCAACGCAGCTTTTTAGAATTAAAAAAAGACTTAGGTAATATTAGAGTTTTAAACGAGCGGTTATGCTTTTTCCCAATCGTACGATTGCTCGCTCGATCGATGGATTCATGTGCATCGATTTAAAAGAGAACGGATGGACCGATTACGATGAAATTTTGCAAGTGGATTCATTACGAGATTCATTATCAAATGTGCAGATCGGAGGTCGTGAACTGGCAATGAACCCAAAAAAATAAGGAAGGCCTTTTTGACATCTCCGGATTGCATGAAATTTTGTATGAAAGCCCAGATGAAAGCACCTCGAGTAAAAGGAAAACTAATGCTGAAATAAAAAATTTGTTTTGCGCATGCGCAATTTGTTTTTTTAAATTTTTCCAAATATTTAATTGAAATGTTGTATACATCCTCGTTGCCATTGACAGCGTCAGGTAATAATTTTTTACAGCACTAGTGTTGTTAAATGTGCCGTAACATAACCCGTCGCTAAGGAGTTATTGTTACTATAACGATTTAGGATAAAATAAAGTAGGTACTAAAACTAATTCTGAATCAAAAAATGTATTTTGCGCATGCGCAATCCGATTTTTTTATTTGTTAAGAGATTTAAAAAATATGTTTAATAAAAAAGATTTGAAATTTAAGAGAGGAAGAAAATTTCATCTAAAGAGATTGTAGAAGGAAAAGTGCCCATAATACTAGCAGCAATGCCGCGCTGAATGGCCAGACTAATTCTTTGAATTTAATTTAATATAATAATGATTTAAATGAAATTTTGAACGTAGAATAGACGTAGTTCTAGTGCAAAAACTCAACGGTAACCAAGATGCCGCAGGCGGAATCCATTGATCCTAATCTGACATTCGATTCTGAAGATGTCTGTAATGAAAGAGATCTGTAATAAGAGAGATCGGCTCCCAAGCTTTTTAAAAAACCTCACCCTGTGTATTTTCTTTAAATTACACTTTAGGTCAAAAGTCATTGGCAAAAATCATAAACTATTAAGACCTATAGTTCCATTGAAATCTAGAAATCCAGAGTGCGGACCTGTGAAAAGAACAACTAGCCGTATGCCAAGTGCCAAGGAGATTAATAATTGAGAAAAATCAGGAAAATTAACCTAAGCGATATTATTCCATGATTTGATTTCAAACAAAGAATACAAAACTAATAAAAACATAAACAAATTAATAAATCATAAACTTAAAAAAACAAACAAATACTGTCGATGTGTATAATAAAAATACAAACAGCAGAAATTACCACAAATGATGACCCAATTTGTGGGAATTCCCAAGACTTCCCAAAACACTCCTGGGAATTCCTCAGACTTCCCAGAGAATTCCCCAAACAAACAGCGTATATACCGAATTCCCAGCGAGGTCAACCCCTCGATTTTTACATTAATTACCACCAGTGGCGGGTCCCGGGGGGGAGGGGCATTGTCCATTTTTTTCATCCATTTTGTGTCGATCTCATTTTCATATGCGAGGTTTCTTTTATTTTTCGGGTTCGGGTTTGGGCCCCTCCCTTTATCAAATCCTGGGACCGCCACTGATTACCACTAGTAAGGTTAGGTACAGTTTTACCTCTAAAATACTTTAAGCGGATTGAATACCTGAATATCGTAAATCCAAGCTATATGCGTCTTGAAAAATACGACATTGGAGACGGAAAACGTAAAATAAAGCAAATACAAGAAGCAAAGTGCAAACTATAAATAGTAATGTGAAGCCGTGGAGCATGAACTGTCAAAACAGTATAATTTATAATTATAGCACGGAGTGTATCGTGTCGTTTTGGAGGCTTTTATTGGCCAATTTGGAATTTAGCTCCAATATGGCGACCGGAACCAATGATCAATCAAAAACCAGATACCATGTTGTCGCCACTGTAGTAGCTTCTATATCTAACGTGTTACGGAAAGTTTGATAACAGATTAAGCTCGAGATTAAGATTCTCCAAAAAAAAGTGCCCAAGAAGGTGCTAATGGCAACCGTCTATTTCCGACCGTTTAAGCTAGGGAAAATGAAAATTTGACATCTTCAGTTTTTCGGTGATATCTCAGTTATTTTCAAAGATTTTTCAAAAATCCGGAGATCCTAATGGTGAGCCAGGAATTTGAACCACCCTATAGGTACACGCAAATGGGCGAAAAATGTTATACTGTGGCAATTTCGAATTGCGACAAAGCGTTAGATGAGTACCATCCATTGACGTATATCGCTGCGTCGAAAGTGAGCTGAATATTTCAGTTCAGATAATTTTGATAACTTTGTGCAATGAACTCATGCTGAATCCATTAAAATTTCTCTGGTAGTAAGAGAAAAAAGCTCAAAAAACTTGACTTACCGCTCCCGAGCTTGTATAACGTGATGTCTTTGTGCCGAAATTGTTTTCTGCACGTTTCCCGCTTCCTCTTCTTTCCGGATTCGTTTGGAACGCCAGGTTTTCCGTTATCGCTGACAGTCACTTTATTTAGGTCGCCACTCGGCTCCTTCCTCTTCGACTTTTTGTAGCACTTTTTAATTTTCATTTTTAAATCACTATTTGTTTTGGATTCCGTTTTCATTTTAACACATTTAAAGATTTCATCACGATCGTCGACTTTGTCTTTTTTATCATCGTTGACCGCATTGTTATCAGTTGATCCATGTGCTAGATTGACCGCCGTTACTTCATCATCTTTGCGCGGTTGATCGCATTCGTTTTCGGTGGCAGGAGACGCGTTGTTCGAATGGGATAGGGTCCTTAATCTCTTCGAACTCATCGAAAACTTCTCTTGGCAATCGCAGGGGTCCGTCACTTTTTTGGCGGTCTTACGTCGCGCACTGATCTCCTTTCGAGGCTTCTTATTGAAACTTGCGGCGATGAGGTATTCGTACGCGTTTAAGAGAAGCGTGCCGTTTTCCTTGGCGGCGGAGATACGCGCGGAGCGTCTGCACGGAATTTCCGGCGCACTTTTCGGTTCGAGATGCTGTTGGTCTGCGACGCGCCTTATTTCTCCATCACATTCCGTTTGGGGATCGTCGGAATTGGGTAACTCGTCCATGTTTCACCTCCTGCGTGGATTGCTTTAACAGAACTACTGAAACACTGGCGATCACTACGGAGTTCGTGCGAGTCTCTGATACGAGTAATACCATAGCTATTCCGGAAGAAGGCAACAGATTTACCCGCAGCAAATGCATAATTTTGCGCACTTATCGTTTTAAATCGTAAGTAACTTATCGTTAACTACCCGCTTGTGAATTGACAACGATTTTTTAGTAATTAATTAATAGCGACGCGGCGGTCCGTTATCACTGGGACTTTTTATCAATTTGAAAAGTTTGTCGGCGAACGTTTCGCGCACTTTCCCTTCAAACGCATTCGCGAACGCGCTATTCGTCGCGATTGGGTTTGGGAATAGTTTGTTCGTTTCCGGTTTAAGCGAAGATTTGTGATGAACTAAATGGACAAGTGCCGGTAGTTGAAGGTATCACATGTGCGCTGATGAACCCATGTTCACAGGCCACGTCAGGTTAAACTCTATTGATTTATATCGCGCTGCTACCACGTTTAAATACAGCTCGCTGAAAGTGGGCCTTTTGTACATTAAAAAAATCGGTCCGCTATCCTCCTGCAGAAAGCACTAAATTAATCACATACTTAAACAGTAAAAAAATACAGCTCCCTTTCTTACTTACAAAGTTTATTTGTCGCGCGATTATTGTTTTATGAACAAAAAAAACACAAACATGACGCAATTGCTTCTAGGCGGCTAAAACTAAAAACGCATATAAAAAATTCCCACTTCCCTTATCTAATCACATGATAAGATATATCTGGCCCTTATCGATGTTTATACAGTACAAAAGTGATATTTACTTCAAGAGGCAATGCGCCGTATTTCCGTCGAGATCCACGCTCGGATCCACGTATCTACCGACGATGGGTAATCGCATTAAAAAATCAGCCATTTGTAGCGGAAGTAAGTAATTAAGGGAAAAATGGAAGAAAAGGGCAGGTATTGTATGTGACTTCTATAACTTTAAACTGTGATAAGATTAAGATTAATGCGCGTTATTTCAGAAACGTACAATCGAGAAGGCACGTTTTGTGCGAGCTATCGTCTATCGCCAGGTACGCACTGCAAAAGAGAAATTGGTTCGCAAAAATGAAAGGTGCTTGAGCGAGAAATGCGCCCCGATTTTCTAAGGAGCGGCAACCCATTGTACACACTTGTTTGTCCGTGTGCACATCTTAAGTAATTCCATAATTGCGCTTTTTAGCGCATTTTTGCAAATTTATTTGTAAAAAGTAGCTTTTAATCTCACTTTGGCTTGCTGGCTGGCTGGCAGCAAATGTGGGCGCGTAGAAGAACTCTTGTAGAAAGGCAACGGGTGTACGTGTATCTACAAGGCCGTGTAATTTGTCAACCTTAGGGACAGGGCTACATGATGTGGGGTTGGCAACATCTGGGCGTCATCCTCGAGCGTAGTTTACTAACGTGAAGGTTTTTCAGTTTTTTCCTATCTTCTAGTACAGTTTTGGTCCGATTCTTTTCAAATTGGTGTCGTCGGAAAGATGTTGTAAACGCGCACAACTCCTGCGTGGAATTTTGTTTTTTTGTCCTAGGGGCGAAATTAACGACCTTTTTCAAGGCGCGCGTCTTCGAGAGGTAGTCAACTTCGGGCACCTTTTACCTTCCGTTGCGAATTTTGGCACGCGGTTTAACGTTTCGTAAATCTGGAATCGCTGTCTCTCTTTCTCGTGTCGTCAATAGAAGCTTGAGTAATGAGAAGTACCCCAAAAAGTAAGTACTATCTTATTGGAAGGTTTTTAACGAAATCCACCAAAATGTGGGTGTAATATAAGTATGCACCGAAAAAGGAAATGTGGTAGCCTCCGAAAAGATCTAACTGATGGTGGAGTGAAAACTTCAACCGCGAATTTGGGGTGAACGGCAACGGGACGTCGGAAGTGGGTACCGTAAAAGGGAATGCGATTCATGGACGGTGCGACAAGCACTCCTTCCGTTGAAAAAGCGGTTCCGTCTTCAAAAATTTGCTATCCATCGTGGAAGCGAAAAAACAACCTTTACCCATTACCATCTAAAAGGCGGCCGATGCTAAATCAAAGCTAGATACTAAAAAGGCGGTTCAAAGCATTGAGTGTTGCGAAATGTGCCATCCATTGGAGATTCGACAGTCGTCCCTGTCTTCTTACGATTTTAAAACTGACGTTGCGAATGATCCGATCCAACAAGCAACTATCTCCGTTACCATGTCAATTTAAGCCATGAAAATTGCAACAAGCATGGCTTCTTCGTCATGCATTTCCACTTGCATTCATTTCCCATTATTGTAAGATGCAACTTCTATTAAAATCGTAAAAATCCGGCCACAAATATGAAAGATAGCGTTGCACATGGGCAATCCATTGTTGACGTGCTAAGTACTTCAATTTCAGTTTATGAGAAGAATTTCGTTTCAATGCTTTTCTAAATAAGAAAGTTGGAACTGCGCATGCGCAAACCTACATTTTGAAACTAATGTTAGATTTTCCTTTGTTCTAAGCGCCTATGTATTAAATTTCACTTAAATGCTTCCATAGATAAAAAAAGTTCGCACTGCGCATGCGCAAAATAAAATTTTGAAACTGGCGCTAGATTTTCCTTTATTACATGTGCCTATGTATCAAATTTCATTTAAATTCTTCCATAAATAAAACAGTTGGCACTGCGCATGCGCAAAACCAAATTTTGAAATTGGCGGTTGATTTTCCTTTATTCCAAGTGCCGATGTATCAAATTTCATTCAAATACTTTTATAAGTAAATAAGTTTGCAATTCGGTTTATAAATGGTCGAGATGTGAATTTTGAATCGATTCGATTCAACTTTTGGCATTGCGTATTTAATATACAGGGTGATTCCTATAGTACCTGCCACCGTTGGGGAGCGTATAGGGGGTGCCTAGGGGAGTATTTTGATATAGGACACTTGGGGTCGGAAATCTAAAATAAGGGCGCCAGAACCAAATTTATCTTCTGGAGTTTCACGCCTGTATGTAGGCAACCCAACCGACCGACGTTTCGCGCGGAGCGATGCAGAGCGAGTTAGCGCGAGGAAGCGACATGGGAGGGAAGGAGGAAAAACGACAGTCAAAAGCAATAACGTTTACAAGTGTTCAACGTGGCCACCGTTGTTCTCAATGCACTTCCTACATCTAGCCAACTATTATTATACTATTGCCATATGTTTATTCACTTGATACGCGTCGTTGCAGACGGGATTTCGTGGGTTTAAACAAAATTCTGATCAAGTGTCAGCCACACATCGCCGCCTGAGATCGCTCCGTGTCCACCGCCGGCCGGTTGGGTTGCCTACCTACAGGCGCGAAATTCCAGAAGGTAAATTTGGCTCTGGCACCCTTATTTTAGATTTCTGACCCCAAGTGTCCTATATCAAAATACTCCCCTACGCACCACCTACACGCTCCCAAACGGTGGCAGGTACTATAGGAATCACCCTGTATATTCTTCGAATTGTATAGAACACGAAAAAACATCCACCTTTTATATATGACAGATTTTATTTTATTTCTTATTGAACATGAAAAACCATAGTAACACACACACAACCCACTACTAATTTCTATTAATATACAACAGTATTATATGGTTAAAGCTATGCCCATATTGAATTTCATGCAATTCAGTTCATAACTAACGGAGATGTAAAAGCGATCGAACATTTCTAAACAAAGTTATCGTTCACACGGACAGATAGATGGACAGACAGACAAAGGAACAGACGGACAGACCAACAGGCAGACGACAGATAGCAATGCAAAATTATAAACGATCTCTAGGATCGTTAATAAACGGCAAAAGTGTAAAATTATGGAACATGTAAAAAACGGTTTTTTGTTTTTTTTAAATAACTTTTTTTGTAAGCGGTACAGAAAAAATTCCTTCCTTGGTACAAGACTCGACACCATAACGAACCAAATAGCGAAAAAAGTAGAACAATAGCTCTTAAGATAAAGAACTAGTAACGTCGCAAAACGAGCGGACGGACGGACGGATGGAAGGACGGACAAAGTGGCCACAATAGCGCATTTTTTTTATTTTTGTGGAAATGCGCTAAAAAGGCAGTCGATGCCGTAGCGATGTGTGATGCAAAACTTGTGGTCGGTGGTCAATTCGAAAAAGGTGGTCCGTGCGGCGAGTTTTACGAACAATGCGATCCAAGGAAGAAAGCAACCCTTTCCCATTACAACATAAAAGGCGGTTGATGCTATATCAGGGGTTACGAAAAAGGCGGCCCATGCAAAAGTCGCGAATGTTGCAAGGAATGCTAATGCATGGATTTTTATAGTGGATTAGGTTGGTAGAGCAGCTGAGCTGATACTTCACCAACTCAAAGATTAAATAAAAATATATAAACATATATTTAGTTAGGTAGGTTGGTTTGCCTATATATAAAGCTGTTATGTATTATGTGGTAACTAAATTATGTGGTATTGGCATATCCAAAACTTAATTTGGGTAAATTTATTATAAAAGAATTTGAGAACGTTGTGCTCAGATAAAGCTCCAATTTTAAATATCCTATCAAAATCGATACGTTACCTGAATTATACCTTTAAATCAATACTTTGCTTGCTTTACGATGCAAACGTTATAGGTTAAATCACTACACAATTTGAACGAATATTCTGATCGTAAATTGAATTATAATTTACCCCAAAGTCTTACGCGTGTTGTAAGTACGTTATAAATATAAATGATTACGTAGAATGCAAGACGTGCCCTACCTGAAAAAGCTGATGTCACTGTGACGCCACAGGAAAATGCAGGCAAACGGTTCCGGTTTAAAGCACTTATTATGGAAGGATGTAACAACGACATTAGGCAGGATTATTGCGGCGAAAGCATACGTTTTATTTTCCCCGCGAAACCGAATCGCACGCCTAGTTCCGTTTGAATTTAAATTACAAATTATATATACTTATTCACTGGAACATTTGGTATAAATAAATTATTAATATTACTTTATATACATGGTATTTCAAAAATGTATATTCAGGTACGATCTCATGCTGTGTAGATTATTTGTTATGTTCAAGATAGCGATTGCGCTAATTCAAGAACCATATACATATATCTACAGATTGCCAGTTATACAATTGGCCACTGATCAAGGTAGTTAGCTGAGCGGTAGTGCTGCTATAAAAACTTCGGTTACGTATCCCTATAACTCAATTTATTTCTTGAGATGTGGTTGTAGTGGAAATGTCCACGGTCGGGGAGCCCGCTAGACCGGTAAAATTGCATACGTACCGCTCTATACGAATAATAGGCGCGAGTAGGTTTGAAAGCGCTATGCGATATCATAGGGACACGGTCAACTCGCCAAGGGCGACTCGCCACCGGACTACTCGCCACCGACCGACTAGCCAATGGGACAACTCGCCAACGCGACAACTCGCCAACGGGACAACTCGCCAATGCGACAACTCGCCAACGGACGACTCGCCACTGCGACAACTCGCCAACGAAATGGCGAGTGGTCCGGTGGCGAGTCGCCCTTGGCGAGTTGACGCGTACTGATATCATACGCCTTTTAAGATGCGTGGGTTTTTAACCGAGACAACCGTGAACCATCCAGCTCTGTTGGCTCTCATTGACAGGGCCGAGCTAACAAAAATGCGGGTTGGCAATTGGCTGAGAGGAAACGCTGATTGCGAGATTTGCGTTGGGTCCGTTTCGGTTTTTTAAGCGGTAATATAAATCGCGATGTTAAAAGACACAAGATATATCGTTAGTCGCTTGTGTCCAGTTATATCCTCAAGATATTAAAAAAAGATTATAATTTCAACCAAGCCGGTATAAAATCTTGTTGTGAATGAACGTACGAAATTAAAATTCGATTGAACATCGAAGAAGCGAAATAAACTCATTTATTTTATTAGAAAAATACGTGACATAGTATTCGAATCGGTGCATTTTTGGGTAGAGCAGTTTACGAGTAGTTTTCTTCCGCAAATTTTGAGTGATGATAATAATATTGGTGCTACCTTCGTGCTACTATAAATATTTATACTCGCTCGAAATAAGATATTCTAAGAGTACCTCTGATAATCTTGAAAATGAAATATCACACCGCAAAGATGGAGGTCATTGAACTATGTTAACCTTCAAAATGAAACATACCACCACAAAAGTGTCATTAACATCTGTTGACGTAAGAAATACAATGACACCACGAAAGCGTGGTAATTGACCTCTGATAAGCAAAATATTAGATTACAAAACGAGACCATTAACCTTTCATGACCTTCAAAAAACCTCCAAAAAATGGGATCCTTGATCTCTGATAGATTAATGTAAAAAATGGAGGCGATTAAATTTTGATCACCTTGAAAATAAAATATTATACCATATGGAGCCATTGTCCTTGAAAATGAAACGACAAAAATGAGGTCATTGAATTTTGATGACCTTGAAAAATAGGATATTACAAAAATGGAGTCACTGATCTTTAATAACGTTGAGAGTAACAGATGACACTGCAAAAAAATGGGGTCATCCGCATCCGATGACCTTGAAAGCACTTTTGAGCTTCACCTTGACCTACTTCCCAAAGTCACCACCAGGTAGCGAGCGACCTTGAACTGAGCCAGTTTCGCTCCTGTTACACTATTATTACGGGACGCAACCCGCGCATATGTTTAAGAATTTTAAACTCGACAGAATTTACTATTAGGGAAGCTAATACCATATAGATCCAGTTAAGACAAATTGACCTACTTGCATAGTGCGCACTATTGTCCATTCCTGAACGTACTTCATATTACCACGAGTACCAACTGTGACCTAGCAGAATCTAGTACCTAGAGAATTTCTGAGAATAGAGGTATTCGGCTTCTTTATTGTGTTTTAATCGCCGAGAGTTTAACATCTCAAGGACCGCGTTACAGAGGCATGAGAATCTAGTGACCTGGGCTTACTTTCCGAGAGGCTCTGTGAAGGTCAGTATGGGGCAGCTCGAACACCCAAAGGTGAGTCGTTAGAATACATTATCTCGATTTCACATGCAACACCTAACAGGGGCAAATGTTCAATAAATTAGGCAGGAGGTGCTAGCAATTTCACTACTTGTGGAAAAACTAAATAATTGACACGTCTTGAGTTAGGCTTGGACCATAGACATATTTGGTTTCAGGTGAAAGCTCAATTGCCGAACATTTTGCGCCAAACGGTAACCGATGATAGGTATAGATATTCCTATGAAGAAAACAAACATATATTAAGTCACTTGTCCAGCAAAAACGAAAGGGATTACAAGAAACGCACCCTGGTGGAATGTGGAACTTTGAGAGGCAGAAAGCAGAAAGGAAACTCTGAGAACTGTATAGAGCAGCACTAGCTACATACAATATCGAAATAAGGCGATCCAAGAGAAACCCCTGACGCGAATTCTAAGGCGGATTTCAGCAGCTCCTCGCGCCTAGCCGCATACAACAGGTACTACCAAAAGATCACTTAAATGGCATCGGAAATCTTCGAAAGATCGTTGGCAAGTTTACGGGAGGCACCATGAAAACAATCCAGCTCTCACCAAATAATGACATTAGGTGACACGACAGAGGTAGAGGATTACAAAAAAAAATCCATTGTAGTGTGAACTAAAAACTTCACCCAAAAACGGGTTGCTAATGACCTTGGAGTCTCTTGGCAGAGGTGGCATTTTCCCAATGCTTCTACAGAAAGTGTTACCCTAATAAATTATCAATCACATACCTACAATCTATATTTTTAAAATTGTGAATTATGGTAACAGATCACAATGGTGCAACCTATTTAAATGTACTGTGACACTATATACCTAAGTAGAAAAACTTAATCTTCAAAAATAAGCAAAAAACCTTGATTCAGTAAAAGGGTTAGTGTATTGTTATGGATTTAACCTGTTGTCAATTAGCGTTACGAAATCATCCAAGCCCTTTTTGTTGCCTCCATTATAGTAGGGTAGCTTTTCCGAACGCTGCATCCATGCCCTCACCTTAGGAAATTTGACTTCATCGATTGGAACCAACACGTTCAAGGACGTTATATTTGGAATTAGCGCAAAATCGGCAATCGTGACGTGGTCACCCGCAGCCCAAGTGTTTCCATCCAGGAATCTTTCCAAAAAATCGTAAACTTTAAGAGCGTTCGCCTTGTACTGTTCCGGAATTGTTTTATCTCCCCAAAAAATTATGGGTTCCTGAAATAGAAATAGTAGCCTCGGCACAATTTACGGAACTTACAGCAATGTTTCTAACTCCAAGAAAAGCCCAACCAGAATCGAAGTGCAGTCTTTGATCGACAACGGCGCGCTTTGCCAGATCTTTTGGATACAACGAATCGTCCTTTCCGTACTTTGACACCAAATAGGCGTTAATGGCATGACTGTCCCATACGATGGTTCCATCATCGTCGACCAAAGTGGGAACTGTATGCTGGGGATTAATCTACCGAGCACGATTACTAAGATCGACTTAAGTAAGTCTCCTACCTTCCTAAATTCCGGCTGCAAGTGTTCTCCGGAGAATAAATCCAGCTGTATATATTCCAGGTTGAGTCCCAAAGCTTCCGCCGCTAGATAAACCGATCTAACTGGAGGGCTGACGTCAATAACATATAATTTTGGAGACATGATTTTACCGGTATCGAAGATGCGGCGGAACTAAATGTGCATGCAGAAACGAGGTATATTTTAACTCACCAGTGACCTACAATTCCCCACGCTTATTGAAAACGATATCCGCGCCCGATACCTTTAGATTATATTTCCGCACAGCGACGGGAAATCGGCAAATATAAAAACAATTATGAATTTGATACTGTTTTTGTAGGTATTTTACAATCCTCATTCTGTCCTCATCATCCAAATCCTCATTATGTTACCTACAAAAAATCAAAAGCCATTTATAACCTTTAGGTACATATCCTTTAAGTAAGTAGCTATACGTGACCAAAGAATAATTAGTTACTCTTTGACCTTTTTTTAGTTGCCAGAAAACGAAAAACTATTTTGGTGCATCACCGCCGTGTCAGTCAAAAACACAGCGATTTGGAAAAAAAAAGATAAAATTGCAAATATTCATCTTAATTTAACTATACTGCGTTCGCACCTCCAGAGGCTGCAGTATGGAGCCTTTAATGGACTAAATGCCTCTCATCGCAATGATGCCAAACAGATAATTGCATTGAAGTATATAATCTTCTTATGCTGTCATTGTCACGTTTGTTTATAGGTAATAAGTTTGGTAAGATGTATGTCCAATAACATAGGTTGTATTTGTTGAAAGGGCCCAGCGGGTGAGTTTACTTCGATCGGCCTTGTTTCGATCCAGCCAGAGGGATGCTAGACTGTCCGTGCGTAATGTAAATCGTCGGCCTTCCAGTATTGACCTCTTCCAGTTGGTTGACGTGGTCTGAGCGGGATTCGTTTCGAGCTGACTATGAGCCGACGCTGGTCTTCGATCTTCGATGGAGGTCCAGTGGCTGACCGAGGGCCTCTTGCAGACGCTCAAAAGTCATGTTCGCGGCGGCCGTCCACCTGAAACGGGCTTCCTTTATTAACATGTCGTTGAATGGAGCTTGAATTTCGGCACAGCGGGACACGTAGTCGCGAAGCCAATTGTTCATGCCCAAGAAGCAGGACAAAGCGGTGGCGTCCCCAAGTTCCATGGCGATATTTGGTAGCCCGAGCTGCGGTAGTTATCGTGCATTGGATGACGTGATCTTTGAGCCACGCGGCAGTCCCGATGGCAGTGGCGCTCGGGATAGTAATAGCAGACGGGCAGTGAAACTTGTCTATTTGGAGGGTCGGCGCCAACTGGCCTAGCTAGTGTCTTCTTCGACCACCTTGAGAGGTTCCATCCTGTATATGCAACTTACGACAATGCATACATTTTTGTGAGTTTGCAACCACGCAATTTTTAGGAAGGGATAAGGTCACTCTATCTCTACAAAGTAGCAATTCTGCGAGCAAACTTCCAATACTTTTCACTCAAGATGCTCTTCTATTAACATCACTTATTTGCCGTTAAAAAAATTAAAACATATAATATAGGTATGACCGTTTCATTGAATACAAGCAATGGTTAATTTTTACCTTGTGGCAATCTAAAGCCTTTTTCAGATTTATTTTTGCAATGTGATACACAACATCCAGGCATGTTTATTGTTAGTGGAATTCCACCGGTGGCAACTGCCATATGCGTTTTGGAACTGTCACTCCGCCATTGTAATTCAAAATAGTTTTTTCTCTGTCTAACACGATTGTCCTTACCAATTGCGCTACTTTGTAGAGATACAGTGACTTTAGGAGGGGAAAGCTGTTTGCACCATCTCTGGAGCGTACGAACGATGGTTACGTTTGGCATCTTGTCTTTAATGGCTGTCGTGAACGCGTTGCTCCATAAATGTTTGTTGTTATTTTGTGTTATTTAATGGCAGGTAGTAATCTTTGCATTTCTTTATATCGTATTTGTGTTTTGTATGTAGCATTTTATATTTTTTTGAGTTTCAATTATTGTTTTTGAAATTGACTTGATTTAACCTTAATGCAGAATCACGTATTTGATACCGTTATCCTTTTGTTCGTAATCGTTTACGTTTTTGGTGTAATGCTTACTGAATTTTTGTTTATGTTTTGATTACATGGTCTTGACCAGACGTAACATTCATAATATAAATTTTGATCATTTTATTTTAATATGTGGAAATTAGCGAGCTGTTTGTGTGTGTACTGACTTGTTGTTTGTAACTAACATTTTCTCCGTGAATGAATCAGTCACGGGGGTGGCAAAAACTGTCATCAAATTGAGTTACGACACCTAATTCCGTGATTGTGTTCGCCTGTAGGCTCGAAACGCCGAACGAGGGGCGAGTTATCTATCTTGAGGGGGCGAGATTATGCTAATCAAAATTTTTCGGTTCTATGTGCGATAAATGACTTTATTTCCGTGTTCTTGTAGTGTGAAGTTAGCGTAGAACCTGGCGGTTAAGTACACTACCACCTCATCTCGATCACATTGCCAGGGGCCCGATAGGCGCATGAACGGCCCCACTCCGCCTGTGATGCAGTAGATCCGCGAGCAAGGCTATGTGCCCGTTTATGTCGATGCGCAACCGTGTAGCGAGCTGGGCCTCCCGCTGAAGGGAGAGAGTAGCAGGCCGGTTTCGTTCTTTTGGTCGCGGTTGTAGAACTGTATATGCTCCGTGACCCACTGGTCGCACTTCGAGATGGGGGAGGTAGGTGTGCGGCTTCCACCAGTTGACGACCGCCTTCTGCAGTTGCTGCTCGTCCAGGGCGCGTTGGGCTCCACTGGAAACGGCATTTTTGGCCCTCGAATGAGTCCCCGGAGAAGACGGGAAGGCCGGTGGTGGTGCCCTCTAGTGCTATTTGAGTTCAGCGGTCAGATGGTTGATGATTTGTGCGACCGTGGCTAGAATCTTTGTCGGCTCTGAGTCGAGGTTGAGCTGGTGGTAGCGGTTCTCATACTGGCAGCGGACAATGTACTGACGGCGGTAGTAGGTATAGGCGCTATCGTGTTTCCCATTATTGAGTCCCTCATTAGTGGATGCGCCGATGCGCTACACTCGACGGTGTCCCACGTTGGGCGCCAATTGTTATCGGGTGGAGGTATGGGCAGTATATGGTGGCAACACAGCCAATAAGCGTCCAAACAAATGATATATTGACTCTTAAAAAATACTCTGGGACTAATATCATTGTATTTATAATATAGGGCCGCGGGACGACGGCTGCGTGGTAGCGCTGCTGAGCGACCTTTTTTACAAATCCTGACAGGAATAAATTGGGGGGAGGGGGGCAAAATATAGTGAATAACTGGTTTTGGTTACAGTGGCAGCTTCCTGATTGATCAATTCTACCAAGTGGAATTTTTGGGTCCAAATAAGGGTCAAGTCAAGACTCAAGAATGCGCTCGTCAGCTCCTATCATCAATAAACAATATTAGCTAATATTATGTAAAATACCTAAGTACCTTAGATCATCTAAGCTATGACCACTTTGTTCTTCAGAATAAAAAACCTCGCGCCCCCAATTTAGGTACGACGCTGGTTCAAGCTGGATTGAGTTGAGGTTACGTTACGCACCTACTTTAATATAAAAGTAGGTATATATGCTTTAAATCAGCTACTGAGCAGATAAACATGAAGTTTAGACTCTGAACCTGAACTCATAAATTGCATCTTTATTAATCGATAATTGTTAATACACTAGTGCTGTGCCACACTACGATATGTCGTTAAAATTATACTACGACGCCTTGTCTCAACCGTCCAGAGCTTTGCTCATCTTCTTGAAAACTACCAACATACCATTTACGGGATGTGTGGTAAATATAGGGAAAGGTAGGTAGCGAATTTATAGTAAGCAACGGTGGCCTAGTTTACAGTGTTTTGCAGGTGAACATTTAACTGAGCAATATAAGAATGAGGTGTCCCCATTTCAGAAAGTTCCTGTTATCATTCATGGGGACTTTCATTTAACAGAAAGGTAACAGTGTGATGGTTTCTGTTGTCCATAATTGTAGTAATTCATAAGCTGTTATTGAATATGAATGAATTTGTTTCAATTTTCTTAATATATATACAGTGTGGTTATACTTGTGTAACCCAGCATATAGGAATTATAATGCTAAAGAGCTGGTGGTTTCATGTTACGGTTAAATCCATCAGACAGTTAATTTTCATTGAAACATGCTACAGATAAAGAGAACAGAGTTATTTTCAAGTCAGATCTATGGTACCTAACTTGAGATATTTACAAAAAAAACGAAATTTTTACACAGTTTAACTGCTCTTGCACTTAGATTGGAAAAACTGCAAACTCACATTAAGAGGTAAAAAAAGATTTTTTAGCGCATTTCCAACGAAGTCTGTCTGTCCGCCCGCCTATACAGTTTCCAATATATTTAGTTCATTCTTTTTTAATTTGCTTGCTTTTGGCACCCAAGCAAAGAAAAATCTTGACGATTAATTTGCGCATGCGCAGTGCTGCACAATGTCAACTTTCTTATTTATAAAGATATTTTCTACAGATGTTTCTACTAAAGGTAAACATATCGCATATTGTACAATCAGATGTGCGCGTGCGCAGATTGGCAAATTCCAACTTTCTTATTTATGGAGACATTTCTTTGAAATTTTAACCATAGATGCTTCTAGTAAAGTACTGATCAATGCATGAAAAATGTGTTGAGTTTGACTTCCGTCCCTAAATGTATAGGCATCTCCGTTATCCATACATCAATCTTTCCCAAATTTGGTATGCATGTTCGAACATGAAATAAAAATTACAATAGGAAATACCAATAACAAAGTTACTGTTCTAATGGGAAAGAATACAGAAAAAAATTAAACCATTCGATTTAGCATCGCTAATCTCCTCGAACAGTTTGAAGTACACTATATTTTTATGATTTTGCGTTTTAAGTGTTGGAATTTTACGATACCTCTGCCGCGAGTTCTCCGTGCCCGACCACTTTTACCCGAAGGACAGTAAACTGCAGGCCAGAGTCGATGAATATTTGGAATGGCAACACAACAATATCCGAGCAGGTTGCTCTATGTATTTTAGAAACAAGGTGTGCAACAATTGACCATTTTGTTAACGCTTTAACATTCATTTTAGTGGCTAATGCCTAAGATAACTGGCGAGCCCTCCAATGAGAAGACACTAGCCAAGTATAAATGTCTAATGGTCGATTCGATAGATACCTTTGAACGTTGCTGGCTGCAATCTAATGCATTTATCGCCGGCGATAAAATATCTGCCGCCGACATATGGGCTGCATGCGAACTGGAACAGCCCCGTAAGTCTACCGAGCGCTGCATCTCGATCTAGGGTTGACTTTTTTTCTTTAATTTTAGGTATGGCCGGTTATGATCCCGCTGAAGGGCGGCCTATACTAAGTCGTTGGCTTAGTAATGTACGAGCAGAGCTAAATCCGTACTATGAAGAAGCCCATAAATTTTTGAACAAAATTGTACAGTTAGAAAGCAAGGTTGTGAATGCGAAACTTTAAAAAGTTGTTGAGTAAATAAATTTTTGTTTTATAACTCCAATTTTTCTTACTTCTGTCTGTCTCGTTAGGCTATATAAACTTTCAGACACATTCCCGGTGAATCTAATTTTATATACCTGTATGCAAAATTTAGCACGAGAACTCTTGTCTATGTCGTAATTTGGGCTCGATTAAACACAACATAACATTTACAGATGAAAGAAATTGATTAGACAAAATCAATCAAATAAGGCTGAAATAAAAACAGTCACTCAGGGTCAAAATGCGCATACCACGCCACAAGTGATCGATTGAAACAATTAAAGAAATCTTAATTACTTTAAAGTTTTAACAATCCAAAATATACGGTAACTGATGCACAAATGCAGACACCAAACGGTGATACTTCGTAACTTCACTTCTTTGATTGCACTTCAATCCCGATTTGGACGACACTGGCTTTATTTGAATTACAGATCTAAAATTTGCTCTTTGATGGTGGAAAATCTCTCTTGAATGGATACTAGGAAATGCTTTCACATATTTTATTCTTCTACAACAATTGTATAACTGGCAAGACGGATGTCTTGTAACCAAAATACGATCTACCGCTGACTGCGATACGCAAAAAAAAACTGCTACCACAAAAACGTCGGTCTCTTCTATTTAAAGCAATTTCCTTTCTTTTCAACTTTACGAACCATCTTCTTATCAAAATTACTGCGACGTCGAGTAACTACCATCTGTATTTACGTCGGTGAAGAAAACTTCGAAACTTAATTCGCTTATGCGATATTCAAACTCCTTATCGCAACGACCGGATTTACAAGAGATAACTTTGAAATTTAAACCACATATGCTTCTAGTGAAGGCAAATGTATCGCATATATTAAAAATCAAATATACACAGACTGCTCAACTCAATTTCCATACTCACAGATGCTTCTATAAAGGGAAACATATCGCAAACAGTTAAAAATCAGATATGTGCGCCGTATGCGTATTACTAACTTTCTTATTTATAGATACTTCTTTCACATTTTAACAGTAGATGCTCCTAGTAAAGACAAACATACTGCATAGGGTAAAAGTCAAATGTCTGGGCCTGCGCAATGTCAACTTTCTTCTAGGGATACTAAGGGATCAGTATCTTTTAATCACAATTCTACAATTTTTTACCACAAACGAAGTTGAAGTTGTCCATATATATAAGCTATTAGTTGTGCTCTAGCAGTTAGGTAGCTATGCCTACTTATAAGGTAGGTTTTTTTAATTATCGAATCAAGATACCTGGTCAAATTACCGTTATTAAAGACATACCGAAATAAATTAAGAATCTCACAAAACACCTATGACTGTGCAGAAATGACTATTCAAGAAAACGCGAAAGAGGTTATAGGGCAATTGTCTTTTTCAAATGCGTTTTATTATTTTTTAAATATATTGAGTTATCCCACTGTGGACAAACAGTACCTACCTGATTATCTTATCTTAAGCACAGAAATTAATCTGTGTCTGAAGCAATTCAATAAATATTATTTTTGTCTGTAATGTAATATCGTAAAAATATCTAGCCGAACTGAGCTTCCAGCTTGCGTTTTTACCGACACGAATGCTTAGAAATGCCTCTTTTTCCCTCTTGCATATTTATAAAAATATTTCGGTAACAAAAACATAGACAATATGAGTAAAAAATAACAAAAATCAACAAACAACATAATCAATAATAGCTCTTAAAGCAGCCGCGCTTGCAACAAATCCCATGCTCTGTCGACTTGACTAATGGTAAATTCTTTTGACCAAAGTGAACAAAACACCACATTCGCCATTCGAATATATCCTGCATTATCCAGTTGAGAATCGACTCTACTCCTTGCCTGCTCTTCACTTAAACCATTTCTATTAATTAAACGCTCAATGGCGACCTTTGACGGAATAAAGCTGGTCCAAACCTGCCGCATAGAAAGGCGTTTTTTTAACTGAAAGGAAAGCAAAAAAAAACGAACCTCGTGACAGTATTTCTCCCACCCCGCTTTCAATAGGACTGCTGCCTCGACGACGACAACCTTACAGGACGAATTTCTTATTCTAGCACTCACTTCTTCGGCGATGGCTGGCCAAACTATGTTGTTCAATTTGTCTAGCTCTTCCTAAAAAAATAAGAATGCGTAGTGTTATGTAAATAGTGATCATATGATCTACTTATATTTGAAATAATTACGCATTATATAGTTTTATGATATATTCCTAGCTGTAGTGTTTTTAAACATTCCCTAAGCATTCACAGCATTTATAAAATTACTGACAGATATATCTGGACATTTTCACTAAAATTTATCATTTAAAGAAAAACCATTGATTTTTTAATGATGATTAATGCATAAGGTAAGACCAGTTTTTGTGTGTACGGATATGGGCTGTCAGTGGGCTCCAAACACCTTAATCAAGTACTGTAGTGTTTTATGTGACGTTATCAAACTGACTGTTGTCATACCACCAAAATGCCTTTTATAAAACGTTTTTACAAACATTTTTATGAAATTTTTACAATGGGACATGGATTTAACACAAGATCCAGCTTCATTGTAGAAAGAGTTTAAGGACTTTTTAAAATTCCTTTTAATAAAAATCAAAGGAGTCGTACAAAACAAAACGCGAGTGTACGCATGCGCTGAAGTAAATGTTTTGCAATGTTGACAGTTTACTTTTACATAAATTTACGAGAAAAATTTCAAAATCAAATGTTTTACATTCATTTCTCAACAAAATATCCACAGGTAACTAGATCTTGCTGAATCAACATGGCTATAATGGCGATGCATTCCTTTTTTATCCTCTATTTCATTCCTTAAAAATCCAATATGGCGTCTATAAGAAATAAGAAAGTAGTAGCTTGTAGCTGTACATCTAGCTGATCTAGCGTGCTATAGAAAGTCTGATATTAGATTCAGATTAAGCTAGGGAAAATTAAAACAAAAATTCTTATTTTTAGTTTTTCGGTGATATCTGTTAGTTTCAAAGATTTTTCAAAAATTTCAAATGCATTTTTTTAGTCACAAAAAGAGGCCACCGCGCCGCATACTTTTAGTTAAAGGAGACGGTTATGCTTTCTCCCTTAGAGAAGGAGAGAGAGAGATAATAATGATCGTAAAGTGAAGCCTTATAATTTGTTTGTGCACCCAAAAGATGGCCGGGGACAGTTCATCGGCGTAAGGCGTATTTACACAAGTAGAAATTGTGCACAACTCCTCTGCATGCCATGACAAATGAACCGATAAAAAAGTAAACAGTTTTTGTGCACCGAGAATATGGCTGCCATAGCTTCAACAAGCAGCATTGCTCTTGATAGCATATTATCAGTCCCCTTTCTTTCATAGTGTAAGCTTTCTCCAAATCATCAGTTGCTCGCTCGCAAGATAGCTTCATGTCCATGTGAGTAATTGTTGCATGTGATCTCCTCCCCTCCTTTTCGTCTTGTAACAGTCATTCAAAGTGCTTAAATGATGAGTATAACTTTGCAAAAATTTCCAGTGGAGAACCCCCGGACCCCCCCCCCCCCACCCTCCACAATCATTGTTAAAAAAGGAGAGAGATGTCATCAAGGCGAAGTTCACATTGGGCAAAGAATCAGAAGCACAAGTGTGGAGGACTCCTCTTTCTCGTATTGCTTACACACCATCTGGCAGCAAACACGAGATGAAGAAGCAACATGATACGGCAAATAATCAAACTCTATAAAGTACTTCCTCCAAGGAATATAGTTAAACGACTCATACAGAGAAACATCAAGTTTTACCTCCCCCCCGTCTCGTGTATGCTAAGACACAAGAGCTGCAGCAGTCTGCACAACATGCGGGAGCAACACATACACAGTGAAAAATCAAACTGGATTCAGTTTTCCCTCCAAGGAATCGAATCGTACAGAGCAACAACAACTTCTTCATAAATACACTTTTCAAAACACAACAAACAAAATAAACAATGAGAACTCGGTATGCCAGCCATTACCTGAGGCCTCCAGAAATCTAATAAGTACTCAATGCTAACTTTTCCTGCTACACTTTGTTGTGTAAATTACCTGTTCTCCGGCGGCGCTGCAAAAGTTTAAAATAAAGGGATATTATTATTATTATTAAACAGCTCTGTGAGCGCTGAGTATGGCTGACCGCGCCCCAATTTAAAGTCGTGCGCGCGCATGCGCAGTATCCGTTTCTTATTTTTGGATCATTCTGGCGCCTGACCTGCGTAAATAAACTTAAAAAAACTCAAAAACAAAGACTAGGTTATTAACTTGTGCAATACTAGCACCTACCGCAGACTTAAAAACAATAGCACCCAACGCTGGTCTGTCGATTTCCCCATTTGCGGCTATAACAGTCCCCCCGAAAACTTCAACTATCTGCTTATGACACGGCCTACCCGGTTTGTAAACGTCATGCGCTACTTTATCGCAATCTATAACTTCAGCGCCGAGTTCCTTCAGCCGCTGCGATATTCCGCTCTTACCACTCGCGATTCCACCTACAAGCGGCACAGATATTGACGTCTACCATATTGAAACAACTCACCCGTCAATCCTATAACGTAGGGCTTGTCTGGAATTAACGTATTACCTACAGGAGGTTTCAGCAACGTGCCCAATAGACGCATGCGCATGGTACTCGAACTGATTTTCTCCTCCTCGGTTGGATTTGGATTCGGTTCGTTTATTAAATCGACCTCAAAGACGTCCAACAAGGGGAGGGATTTCTCTTTACGCACTGTAAGGCAGATAACTTGATTTTACATGAAAAATGTACCAAGCGTTACCTTCGTTAACGTATCGTCCACCTTTAGCGGTCTCTGCACTCACAATAAGCAAATTCATTGTGGGGTCGTCACGAGTCGGACCCAAGGGATCGGTTATAGGTACAACATTAATGTCGAGCTCCGAACAAATATCGCTCAAGAAGTCTTTCACTCCTTGTATTCTCATATCTAGGGGTTCTGTTAATTCCCACAATGTTTTCCCTACAATTATGACATAACAATCATAGAATAGAAATATTTCCGTAGCCTACCTGCCAACATATTTTCTTCCGTAACTCCAACAGTAACTTTGGAGGATGACCGCAGCACTGCCTCCGACAGAAGAATTTTATGAGCGGCATGTAACCGGTCAAAAGTGCCCCCTAAAACCGTATGTTCATACACCTTGTTGTTAGTGGGAGCACTTTCGAGTGGCCCGCTCGCTTCACTACTGGTAAATGTTAAAACAGGACAATCTGCAGCGATGTTCTCAATTCCTCCTTGCACGAATCTACTGATTTCCACATCGTGATACTTTCGATCAAAAATGACCAAGTCAATTGTGTTAAGCGTTCTAATTTTCGGTAAGCTTTTCGATTTTAAAGCAGACAATAACACACGAACATCGAGACTATCGCAATCTTTTGCAGCCTGTAAACGATTAAACCGATTAATCTTTTTTGTAATGGAAGCACTCACTTGATAGTAAATATTTGAAATTAACGAACTGTACATGGGGCTCGACGTAAACACATTTGGTTGGAATGTTAACGGACCGCTTAGTGCGGACAGCAGTTGTATGTACAAAGTTGTTTTGACCTTTTCGTGAATGTTTACTAATATTTTGCCTATTTGGCTTGGATTTGATACAACTAGTAAAGCCGTTTTGGCTAGCATGATTAAACTTAAAATAATTGGATTTTCTAAAATATAACCTAACTATTTTGAAATGACGGCCGGTGTCTACTGTCACATACCGATGTTTTTCGTTTTGGTATAAATTTGTACAGGGTGTAACAAATATTACAAAATAAATTTAATTATATTTCTATGCGTAATGACAAACGGTTACTAAAGCACCCACAAGCACCTGTCCAACTAGCTCAGTTAAATACAGGTACTAACAAATCCTTTATACGAAATGATTAAACTCAGCAGCCTTGATCAACTGCACAATGACAAAGAAATATTGCAAATTTTTATTTAAACTCTTAGCATAACCTTGGGTACCAACAGAAAAATTCAGCATGCGAACACTTATCTAGGTCGTAATTTAGGCTCTACTAAACACAACATTCTACAGATGAAACAAATGTATTAGACAAAATCAATATACAGGGCGTTACGTTTTCCTAAATATGATGTATATAAGGATAAGAGGTTTGTTTATTATTTGGTTTATTTGATGACTAAAAATTCATATAAACATACGCCGGGAAACACTTCGTTACCGATCTACAGGGTGATATTTAAAACAAATTTCATTTTTCCGCCTCTTCTCTATTTGAAATTTTCGTCTTCGACGTTACCCACCTGTGTTTTTTTTAAACTAATAAGTGTACGCAGCGATAACATATTTTCTATCGCAACGACCGGATTTAAATGAGATAACCTCAACGTTATTTGCTAATAAAATAAAAGCTCCGAACATTTCGTTAGAAAGCTACACCTCAAACGTACCAAAATTAATATTTTTGTCGAGATCGTGACTTTTCCTTCCACTCCTGTTTAGAGATGCGCCGTATTATATTCATTTTGAAAATTTATTTACAAAGTCGAAAAAGGTGCATTGCATAATAATTATGTTGAAGTTTGTGATCAGTTAACACACCTTTTACAGCAAGAAGGACAGCATTTTCGGAACAGGGACTTTCTTGCGGATAAAGCTTGACAGCTAGAGAGTGGGCGAGGCCGCGCGGCTTACTATTTTTCGATCGATCGAACTAATTTTTCAATATTTCCTTCGTTTTTTGAAGTGTAATTACAAGTAGCAGGTACTTGAGTTTTTTCTACATTAAACACTATGTTTTGATACGTTCTTGACTTCTTGTACATTGATTCATTTTGTGTCTCGTTTTATTAATTACCAAATTTTCAATTGTACAATAATTTGAGATGTGTGATTTTGTATTTTTTGATTTGCCTTTCGTAGGTGCCATTTTAACATGAAAGGTACAGGCGCTGCTTGTAATTTTTTCCCGGAGTTGCCAACAGTAAGTCAAAATTTCAGTGCCTGATTGGAAACTGCAGATTGCAGGCTGCTGACAAAAAATTTAACCTTGAATATATTTGGGGGGGGGGGGCGTTTATTTATAATAATATCGTCTTTATTAGATGTAAATCCAAAGGGCGAAGTTCACCTAGGAGCAACATCGCCACTGTTTTGATCCGGTTTAGCACACACAATTATCTACGTATTCCCCATGCACACAATTTCAAATCAGCACTTTAGAACGTACAACTGAGTGGAAGATGGTAGAGGGTATAGGTTCACGAGGTCTGGCGGTTAGATCTGAGGAACCACATTACACGACATTTGAGGCCTAGATACGCGTACTATCTTATCGTAATCCAGAATCCACTACATATTAGTTTTCTTATTCACGAATAAACTGAGACTATTAGTGCCGTGTTAGTGCCACAGAATTTAAAGTATCATTAAAGAACTATTTAACCACCCCTTAGTTACATGAAAGTGAAGGCAACACAATTTACTATGCATCGAATAATTACAATTAAAACTAAGTACACTACCTTTCGTTACACCTACAGCACAAAACTTGAAATTTGAAAATTAATGCTAAATACAAGTGTATGTACTTGCTGAAAGTAAATCTAATTCAAGAGAAATCTTTCATTCATATACACCCATTGTTTAAAAATTGCCGATATAAAATTTGTTAACATTCTTGCATAGTGACTTGTTAATGGCCCATATGAATAAATGGGAGCATATGCTTATACTTGCAAATTTCAAAGTAAATACTCGTAAGTGTCCCCTCAAACTGGGCGACTTAGCAGCGCTGCTTAGCCACGGAATGGGACGCAGTACAAAACTGCTGAGCAGCCCAGTGTGAAGGGGCACTTACGAGTATTTACTTTGAATTTTGCAAGTATAAGCATATGCTCCCTTTTATTCATATGGGCCAATGTATTGCAAAGACGGTGTCTCTATTTACTCTAACGGTACTCGTAGCTTGAATTTTGAAATCGGACATCACATCATGTGATTGGTTAGAATTTGAAACAATCACCAAACTGATTGGTGGAATATTAATGGGTGTATTAATCACTTCAATGTTGTTACATAGACACGTGTGGAAGTGGCTCGTGAACCACAACCTAACCCCTTGTTTATGTTGATACATGTTTGTAAATAAACAAATTAAATGTTTTACAATGGGAGAAGATAATATTCCTGCGGCGGATAACGCTTACAAGCAAGAATGCCCAATTAGGTGCATATTTTTGTGCGAATTTCATCCCACGGCAGGTCCAATTATTAGTTGTCAGGTAGATACATTTGGGTGGTGTCCAGCTAATCCACAATGCCTTATCATTGTAGGTACCGGAAAACTTTATTTCGAAGGAGTTGTTTGATAGCGTCAGCGTTTACATAATAACGAAACCAGAGCTGCTTCGGAGTACGATAACCGTGTAAGTACTGTACGGAGAACACGATTGCAAAACTTTTTTCCGTATAAATGGGTTGCCAATAACTTTCCACCTATCTTATCTGTGTCAATTTATTCTTGGTTGTTTGAAAACAAATGAACAAATCATGAACTTTACAGGGTGAACTTGTACTTTATAACCAGGTTTGGGTGCATCATTATTTGTGTGGGTTATACAGGCATCCAGATGAGTTCCACAGCAGTATATCGTTGTGATCACTGATTAGATTTACAAAATTGCAACAATATACATTGTGTTACATTTAAAAAATCCCTTTAATGTGCTTATTATTAATTACTATATGTGTGAAACAACAAAATAACATACTCCGCTCTAACAAAAAGAGGATTAACAAAACGAAAGAAAAAAGAATAGAACATTTAAATTAAGGGAATAGCTCGGGGAATAGCGATTCAGATTAACAGTGAGACCTCTGGTGGCAGCACATTGTAATTAATATTGGTGGGAAAAGATCGCCCTTTTGTTTATTTACAATGACAAAAAGTATCAATATTGTAGTTTTTATGCTGTAAAAGTCAATAGGTAATAGGTAGTGAACAGGAACAGTGCTATGACACACCAAAAAATAGGATATTATATACGTCATTGTTTCACACTCTCCGCTTTGAATAACTTTCTATCACTGCTATCAGTGTAATTACGCTACAAATAAGCGTTCACTTAAAGAGTCATCTATTAACACAGATAAATAAAATACCTAATTGGCAAAAATGAGGTTACGCCATAGCTGAAATATGATTTTCGCAGGTGGTTGTGAAGCAAACTAATTTAAATTTACACTTTTCTGGGAAAAATTCGAAGAGAAATCATACCGTTTTTAAAAAATATTTACGCACTTCCGTAAACAGTACATTGTGATGGGAGCCTTTTGCGCTGTGCGATACGTAAATAGGCTGCGATTGGTCGACGGTGTCCGCGTAGTAAAATTAATTTTCTGATTCCACCGGAAATGCGTTCTATCGTTGATTTGGTGCCGAAGGTGCAAAATTTTCTCTTTTCAATGCGGCAGCGGCTTTTAAATTATCCGCACCTTTTCGGAGATCGTACATTGTAAACACCCATTTGAACAATCTTTCAGGACAGTTTACTATCCCTTCCAAAATTATTTTGGTTTTGTTATGCACATAAGAAATCAATCGGATAAACAAAGACCGCAGTCCAACAGGGAAAATAGTCCTTAATTCAAACTTGCTCTCCATTACACTTGAACGTTTGTATAGTGGATTCTGTGTAATCGTAGTATTTTTTAGGACTTTAACCGATTATAAAATTTTGGGATGCCCTGTACGCATTGACGACAAAAAATATGCCCGAAATGCCTTCTACTTCAACCTATGTTTTGTGTGCGATAGTTCGGCGCGTACCGTCCATTACGAACCGTTAGTTACGAAACTGTCGGATTATCTTATGGCTCTCGAAATGGAAAGTAATTTTTTGTCCACCGGATCGGCGCCCTCCCAACTCGTACCTTTGCTGAAACAAGTTCTAGAAGATTTAAATACCAAAGGTAAAAATTCGAGTGGGAAGAGGGGACGTTACATTTGGGAACTACGCCCCTAAATCTGCGTTTCTTTTTAATTTCTTTCTCTTTTTCTTTTTGATACGTCAGGATCTCTGGATATGACTATTAAATCCAAACTTAGCTTAGAAACACAAATTTTGCAACTTTTGGAGACCTAGCTCCCAAACGAAACGAAAAGTTATTGAGGCAACATTGCCCTTTACCCTTATTTTTAGGAGAATGTGCACTAATTGGTGGACCCACCGCCACACATCTAAAAGTGGTTCATGTCCGGAGCGCCCCCCCGCCGGTAGCCGATCACCAGGTTCCTATATTTTTAAAACACTTGCCCACACAAGAATGGGATCTAACAACACAGCAGGTCGCTCCGTTCATTAACGGCTTCAATCACATCGCGCGCATCGCGGCATTGGCCGACGTCGAAAATAATTTGGTGAAGGCGTGCGTTCAGAATTTAGTGTACTACGGGGCGGTTGCCTTGGTGCCCCTATTCCAATACGGTAACGTCTACTGTACCACGCCAAAATTAAAACTTCTAGTGCAAAACCAGGTGTTGCAGGTAAAAACGCGCAAAATGCCAACAGAAATTAGTAGACGTTCCGTTTTTTTAGCGCAAGTGCTTGCATTACGTCGCGAATTCGTCGCGACAGCTGCCGAACATACGCGACGTGTTTCGCATGTACGCCGCGATGACGCGCGGCACCACCATCAGAGATTTGTGTGTGCGATTTAATCCGGCCTGCTTGAACATTAACGAGCGTAAATTGGTGCAGTTTGGAATATTGGAGGAGCTGATCAGGCGCGTTAATAAATACCCCGTCTACGTGGGCGACAATCACGAGTTACAAAAGTCGTTCTCGGGCGGAGCTAGCCTGGACGAGATATGTTGCGTGGCAGGCATTAACGTGCAACAGTTAGAAGACCAACTGGAACGAGATCATAATGTAGTTATTTTGTGGAAATAAAATGTTTATATTGTTTAACTGTGTACCGATCCCATAATTTTATATCCACTTTTTGTTATTCTAAAAATGTCAATCAAATCGTCATACTATATTTTTTAAAATCTGTACTGAAAAGCAACGTGGAGGTCAGTTCGCTTGTGTGTAACTTGAATGATTCATACCATTTTTAAGTGCGGTGGTTGTTGCCTCTTAAAAATTGGGGTACCAGAGATACGCCCACTAATTTTTACTCGTCCTTAACCTTTATTCACATCTCTTGCACTATGTCTATGTTTCCGTCACCTTTGCCACTGCCATGCCTGATTCCATGTTTCAGATTTCATGTCGCCTGTGGTAGACTTGTTAGGGTCTCCAACCCAGCACTGCAATATTGACTTACCCTGTACCTTACAGCGCCAAAAAGAAGTGGGAGCCATGAGTGTTTTATCACAATATCGTCAATAAGGCCTGCACACTTGCGGAGAATTTGTTGAGTGCTGCACTGGACATTGAACATGCAAGTGCGGGGAGCAAACATTGTGTGCACAGCGCTGTGTACAAAGTGGAATTGCATTAAGTCACAGAACTCTCCTCATGTTCTGTGAACTAAGTAGACAAAACTTGAGTAAAATTAAAGTACCTACATGAAATTAAGTCATGTAGGAGAACACATAATGACGATTAAAAACATGGTGCATGGCTAGAGTGCATCGACATATAGAATGGACGGTGGGTGCCAATGAGGATACTGCAGCTGAGGGAGAAGGGAAAACTAATAGGCAAGCTCTCTCTATCATACCATCGACATGCGACATAAAAGCACTGCCACAGCGATGTCGATCAACAGAAGCGCGATAGAGAGAGGTTACCTCTTAGTTTTCCTTACTCTCTCACCTGCAGTATCCACGCTTAGCATTGACACGGCTATATGTTGATGTGTGTTTATTTGTGAGCGCCATCGATTTTTGATTATTTTATCCTAAAATTTTCATGTTTATTTTTACTGGCAACTTACTGGCCTTTGTTTTAACTAAATGTTTTATGAAAGAAGGAAGCATAAAAACTCGTCTGGGTAGAAGGATCGAAAGTGTGTGTAAAACTATAAGTTAGTCTTGATTGTAACCACGAAAGAGTTGGACGGATTATTTTGTAAATTATAATAAATCGATTGGGGGGAAACTTATTATTCGCATTTTATTTCATAAGTATAACGTTATTATATTATTTGACTTACCTTATAGCCTTATTATAAATATCATAATATAGTCAGCTAATGGCCAGGGTGGCATAAATGCAAGGGGTCAATGCAGATTGCTAATGCTGGGCCGTAAGTTATGCTTATTCTTATGGGACAGGAGAACGGTTGTTCCAATTGGAGATAAATATGCTATACCAACGCGGGTTACGTTTGGCATTTTGTTTTTCATGGCGATCGCGTAGGATTGAAAGTGTGTGTAAAACCAAAGAGTAAATATTATATTATGGATACTCTTTGGTAAAACTATAAGTTAGTCTTGATTGTAACTACGAAAGAGTTGGTAGGATTATTTTGTAAATTATATTAAATCTCACACCTCACCTCACATTTTTGCTCTTTTTGTCTGGATAACTCTCTTTGATGTGTATATAATTCAAGTTATTTAGCGTAATTGTAGAAGGATACGCTGAGGGTTGTCATGGGGATATAAGTTGTTATTTTGTAATTTTTCAATTGTTAAAAATAAAGTATACAACCTTTGTCCAGGGAATATGTAACAATCTTCAACGATGCACTATAAAAACAAATGCAGTCAAAAGGGTTGTAGAGTATAAATTCCCTTCAATAATATACCAGGGTTGTCCAGAAAGTAACAGACGTTTTGAAATAAAAAATTTTAAACTTGAAAAGAAAATCTCTTATTATAAACGTTTGGGAGCTACACTCTTAGGCTATTTATTAACACAAGCGCCATTCAAATTGAGGCACTTATCATAGCGTGGCACAAGTGTTTTGATTCCAACTTTTATAAATCTACCGCCTGAGATTTTAACCTGCACTGGGTAATTACGCCGACATGAAGTTCGGCGTCGCCCCTATCGAACCCCTGCATTGCGAGTCAGGTCTTCATCGCTGGGAAGAGGTGGAAGATTTGTTGTTACTTTCTGGATAGCCCACGTATATTACTTTATTATCTTGTCTATTTTCCTTCAATTCGAGATGTCTGATTTCCAAATTTCAAACAAATACCGTTGGGGCATATAGAGGCACCGCTGGAGATACTTTAACATGACATTAACCTTTCAAATACAGTGTTGTAATTTTACAACAGTGTCACAATTTGTATATCAACAATTTTTAAACAATGTTATTCTGTATATGAAGGAAATAGTGTCTTAATTTAGCTTTGCCGATTTTGCATTTTGGTCAGTTCATGCAGGTCCATTTGACTTCTAGCGTTCTCCGTTCGGTCAGGGCAGTTGAATTTATTTTAAATTTCTATAAAAATTCTATATTCGTATGCAGGTAACCCGTATATTTGTTTGTTCCACTTGAAATGTTACTGCAATTTTAATTTGTGTGAAATTGGCCAGTTCTTAATGTTCGCTCCAGAGCTGGGTCGAGCGTTCTAAATAACCACTCGAGCGACGAGCGCTCTAATTTTCTAAAAAAATGCTCGCGAGCATCGAGTTGTTTTGCAAAGCGAAACCACTTACGAGTTCCAAGCACTCCTAAAAGTGCTCTAGCGGTTTATCGCGAGCGCTCGGAAAAAGCGTTCGGGAACTTTAAGTAAAGCCTCGAGTATTGAGCACCAAGCGGCCGCTCCGAAAAGTGCTCGAAAGCGGATCGCTCGCAAGCGATTTTTCCGCTTGGAGCGCTTTTTCGAGCGAAACACTCGCGAGCAGTACCCAGCTTTGGTTCGCTCGATGTTTAAACTCATTTAGATTAAATAGCGACTTCAATTTTTTGTGTATGAATCTGCCTTTTTGATTGTCACTGACTGTTTCACCCGTGTAGAGGTAAATGCCAGAGTGTAAAATTACTTAGCGGCATTCATCTCGAAATATAAGTTTAACCGTATCCAGGACTTTAGATACCTTCTGGACTGGGGAAAGTCCGACTGTAATGAAAGAATGAAATTTTTCACAAATGGGAAAGAATTGGTGTTGCTTTGAAATTTATTTGAGCTGGCCATTCTTTGGCATATCAAATGTTGTATTAAATTAACGTCAGATTTAAATTGTTCAAATTCAAGGGTTCCTTCTTCGGATTATTAATTTCTGTATATTGTAGATGGAATATCAAATGTATGTTTAGCTCCGTTAACTTAGCACCACTATTTCAAATTTCTGACTAAAGATAGATTGCGCTAGAATCTCTACAGCTAGCGCCACTTTGAGTTCAGCTAGCGCCATTATAGATTTTGCAAAAAAGCCTTTGACTTTCGGGGGGTGCTATATTAACGCTAGCACCACCATTGCGTCCGATCATTTCCAAAAGCAAGCGCTGTGTTCGTCAGACCTAGCGCCAGCTAGCGCCACAAATTTTAGAGCTAGCGCCACCCCCCAATAGGGTGGGGGGCAATTTTTCCTAGCACCACCATTTTGTCTTTTCGGGTAAAATTTTTACGTTTGGTGTCTGCTGACCTAGCGCCAGCTAGCGCCACTAATTTTACAGCTAGTTAACGAGCTCCTAGCGAGTTTATAATTTTGCGGTGTCTGTCCGTCTGTCCGTTAGCACGATATCTCGATAACGAATTGACCGATTACGATGAAATTTTGTAGATGGATTCTTTATCAAATTTGTAGATCGGAGTTCGTGAATTGGCAATATAGCCCAAAAAATAAGGAAAGCCCTTTTGACATCTCTGTCAGTTATGAACCGAATTGTATGAAATTCAATATGCGTATAGCTTTAGCCATATAAAACGCAATTCCAAAAGTCGAGCCTAATCGATCAACATTCACAGTGCCCTTTTCGCATCTCGACCATTTACAAACCGGATTGAAAACTTTCTTATTTATGGAAGCATTTAAAAGAAATTTGATACATAGCCACTTGGAATAAAAGTAAATTTAACGCCAGTTTCAAAATTTGGTTTTGTGCATGATGTGCGGTGCCAATTTTCTTATTTATTTAACTAAAAGCAAAACTAACACCAAGTTCAAAATTTGGTTTTACACATGCTGTAGCCATACCCAGGAGCTCGTTTTCTATACTTATTTACACGTCGATGCGAAAAGGGCACTGTGAATGCTGATAGATTAGGCTCAACTTTTGGAATTGCGTGTTGTATAGCTAAAGCTATACGAATATTGAATTTCATGCAATTCGGTTCAAAACTCACGCAGATGTCAAAAGGGCCTTCTTTATTTTTTGGGATACATTACCAATTCCCGAACTTCGATCTACAAATTTGATAAAGAATCCAACTACAACACTTCATCGTAATCGGTCCATTCGTTATCGAGATATTGTGGTAACGGACAGACACCGCATCTGGGATGGTCAAACTCTTTACCATTTTTAAACCCGAATGTGCAAATCTGTCCCTTTTAGGGTCGGAAATAATAGACCAATTATTTTAATTTGAAATCCTTTACTTTTTGGATTGATCGTTCTGTTTAAAGTAAAAAAGCAATACACAAAATAGCAAAATTATACACGAAAAAACAAACCGGTGGTAATATAAAAAAAAGGACCTCCCACAATGTTGGGGATTGGGCGCCAGCTCTGCAATTTGTGGCGCTAGCTGGCGCTAGGTCGGCAGAACACAGAACGTCAAAATTTTACCCGAAAAAACAAAATGGTGGTGCTAGGAAAAATTGCCCCCCGCACTATTGGGGGGTGGCGCTAGCTCTAAAATTTGTGGGGCTAGCTGGCGCTAGGTCTGACGAACACAGCGCTTGCTTTTGGAAGTGATACGGACGCAATGGTGGTGCTAGCGTTAACACAGCACCCCCCGAAAGTCAAGAGCTTTTCTGCAAAATCTGTAATGGCGCTAGCTGAACTCAAAGTGGCGGTAGCTGGCGCTAGCCATAGAGATTCTAGCGCAATCTATCTTTAGCCAGAAATTTGAAATGGTGGTGCTAAGTTAACGGACCCCCTTATATAAATATGTGAACAATGTTTCGAAATTTTTTTCAGCTCGAGTCTTTTGTCCTAGGGGAACATGCGGCATTTCTTTGGCTTTAAATGCATACTGTGTAACATTTTAGTAAATTATTCAATAAACTTTCTTTTTCAGATTCACTAAATGTGTTATATTTGCGTTCCACCTTTCAAACTGTTTCGGTTGGTTGAAGAAGCGCCGGTTGCAACACTTTTTACCTCCTGCTGCTTTCTTTTCTGAAATTTCGCCGGTTCGTTATTTCCGCTTCGGTGTATCCTTTCTAACTTTAAGATATCCTGTAGCAGTCTTCGTCTACGCGATATTTCGTTAGTAACGCACTTTTGTTTTCCACTCTCGGAAGTTCAAGGATCAGTGCTATTGAATATGAGCCGAATAACAGTCTGGTTTCCGAATGCAAGCTGAGTGGAAAAAAATCTCTTACTCAAAATCGCATGCGATTTTTCGTATCTTGTTATTTATATAGATTGTAGCACCTACACGTGTATGTGTAGGTAATCTTTTCAATAAATGGAAGGAATTTACTTCAAAATAAGATAAATTGATTTCGAAATTTAGATTGCTCAGCTTTGATTACATTAATCTCCTCCAAACTGCTTCTAAAATAAACAATTTTGTGTGACTGTAGCTTTGACAAAAATTACAATAACCTTTTGGATTTGCCACATTTTTTTCTTCATTTTCTTTTCCTTGTTTCAATAACCCTCTTCGCCAAAACCAAAACCTAATCCGACAAAATCAAGATTTTATTTTAGGAACATCAAAAACTATCAAACAATCAAAAAATATTTTAATTGTTTTCCTTTAGGTATAGGTAGGTACTATTTTTATGCGGTTAACACAATAACATTTGGGTAACAACGATAGTGTAAGTACCTGATTACCCAATGTCACCATTAAATGATATTGATGGAGATACGCAATAAACTGGTCCTTAAGTACCTAGTCTAAAACTGGATACTGGTAGATAAACCGGTAGGTATATTAACGAAACGAACCAATTCAGGTTGTGTTTAAAAATTAAACTGACCAGACGTGGTGATAATGAAGGTCGTCGTCATCCTTTGTGCACTTTTCTCCTTCGCACTTAGCTTTGTAAGTATAACATCCCTTGTATTTGTAGTCCTAAAATTCAGTTTTAGAAATTTAACATCCCAGCGCAGACGCGGCTCAAATATGAAGCTGCTATTCTACCGCACAAGGCGAAATGTATTCTCGAAAGCAAAGTCGTCGCCGATTTGGGAATGAACGCCTTATTAAACATGGAGTTTCCAGAGGACGATAATTTTAAATGCTTCCTGAAATGTGTGGGAACGTCTGTGGGAATTTTTAAAGATCAAGAAAAAAAGTTTGATCAGCAAAAGTCTATGGAAATTCTTGGGATACCAAGCACCATATATGATAAATGTTTTGGAGAGATTTTGGACCAAAACTTGTGTGACGTCGCATTCAATACAGCGAAATGTGTTCTTCGCAACATTGAATCAGTAGGTATCGATATTGGCCTCGGTATTGGCTTAAAACTAAAATAAAATATGTGTCGCTGCATGTAACTCTTCCATTATATATTCTTCTTGTTAATTGGGTAAAAAAATAAATTAAAAGGAAAAAAACCGCTTTACTTTGTAGTGAAATAAAGTCAACCCGACAACGTTTAAAAATGGCCACCCGAAAGAAGATTCCCTCCAAAATTAAACAAGATCCCGCTTAAATTTGAAATGTGGCACGTGATAAAACATCTAAGGCAGGGGGCCCGTACGTTAGTTGTAAACAACGCTTTGACCTGAAGTACAGTAGGGAAGGAACGTAAAATAAAACACTCAAATTGTGAAAAGTTTGTTTAATAATGATCGTAATTATTATGATTGTGAAAACCCGGAAATTTCGTTGATGTACATTAATATAAACAAAGCAAGCAAAGCCAAAAGGTGTCGTACTCTCGCAAAAGTAACTGCTAAGGTTAAAAAGAGTACGACATAGAAAAACCTCGCAGTTTGATTAATGCAGTCCAAAAGTTAGTTAACAAAATATTTTGTAAAGATAGTAAATGTCACAATGGTTACAATGGTTACACTCAAGATTAGAAGCAAGTTTTTGGGGACAATGGGTCAGGTAGGAGCAGGTACCTAAATTCTAAGAAAGAGAACAGGATGTGACTCATCTTTGGTGCAATAAAGTCCTTTTGTTAAAAGCAAGATGGACAATTACATGGCCTTACTTTGTAAGCTCAGATTCCTTCCCCAACATCTATAAATTCCCAGCATCCTTTAGGTGATAAAATTCATGAAAATGGCTTATGCATCTTGATAAATGAGCGCGCTTCCAAGGACGCTAAACACAGTGTAGCGTACTTAACCCCCAAGTTCTACACTAACTTCACACTACAAGAACACGGAAATAAAGTCAACCCGGCAACGTTTAAAAATGGCCACCCGAAGGAGTATTCCCCCGAAACCTAACCAAGATCCCGCTTAAATTTGAAAAGTGGCACGTGATCAAACATCTAAGACAGGACCCCCTTACGTTAGTTGTAGACAACGCTTTGACCTGAAGCACAGTAGGGAAGGAACGTTAAATAGAACACTGAAATTGTGACAAGTTTGTTTAATAATGATCGCAATTATTAATGATTGTAAAAGTTTGGAAATTCCAAAATAAATTACATTGCAAAAATAAACTTTGAAAATGGTAGTTCGCCGAATCAAAATAATAATAATAATAATAATAATAAAGTTTATTATCCCAACAGTGATAACACCAATTATAGGGCAATATTAGTGAACAACAGTCCGAGACAATAGCAGTATTAACATACTTAATTGACAGATGGCAAAAGACAGTAAAGGGCACGTCCTTAGTTGTTAAAGTGATTAATTACATTCTTCAAAAACTGGCCATAGCTATCATTAAATATATCCACATTTATATTACAAGATAATATTTGATTACAAATTTTCGCCATTTTATGAAGAGGAGAATTTGCTTGATGATAAGTGTTAGGCTTTTGACAATAAAAAATATTATAATTCCTTAAACCAGATCTAGGTGTCCTCAACTTAATCTGTGATAGTATACGCACGTCATCAATCAAATTATGCAGCAATTTAAACAAATAAAGTGCATTGTGTATATCATATTTGTGTCGCATTATATTGATTTCAAACAATTCTGCTAAGGATTCATACGACGTTCCTTGAATTGGATAAACGCCAAATTGTTTAAAGTAAAGGTAGGTACTTCAGAAAACGTTTGTGTACATATTCAATCTTTTTCATGTAGGTGACCTTAGTGGGAGACCAACACACTGCACAATACATTAACTTACAGTCAACAAACGCATTATATAATTTCAGCAATACATCACTAGATTTAAACAATTTGCAACTTCTAGTTATAAAACCCAGGACTTTAATACAATCTGTACATAATTTATCAATGTGACTTAGAAAAGTCAATTTTTGGTCTAATGTGACACCCAAGTCCCTAATTTCACGCACTCTCCCTACAACATAATTCTGAAGTCATATTCATAACAGATGTTGTTCAACTTTCTAGAGAAAGTCATCACAAAACATTTTTTTTAATTTAGTTCCAAACTGTTCTCCTCAGACCACCCCAACAATAACTCAAGATCCCTTTGCAACACTTTACAATCATCAGCACTGTTTATATCAGTAAATATTTTTAAATCGTCCGCATATATTAGTGAGTTGCATTTAAAAATAGATGCAATATCATTAACAAAAATGGAAAACAATAGTGACCCCAAATTGGAACCCTGGGGAACACCGCTTGGTGACACATATGCAAAAGATGTGTACCCATTTACAACGACACACTGTTTCCTATTGGCCAAATATGATGAGACAACATCAATAAGGTTTTGATTTACACCCATATTACGCAGCTTGTTTATTAAAATGGGATGCTGAAGTCTATCGAATGCCTTACTAAAGTCTGCAAAAAATACATCTACCTGTTTGTTAACATCCATTGCGTTAGATACATATTGGGTAAAATTGACCAAATTCGTACAAGTAGATCGCCTCGGGATGAATGCGTGTTGATCCTTCGATAAGAAGTTCATGACAGAAGTGAAGATTTTTTCGTGTAATACGCACTCAAACACTTTCGAAAAATTATTGAGCAGAGATATTTGTCTATAGTTAGTAATGTCCGCTGGATCTCCCGATTTCAGGATTGGTATCACTTTAGCGCACTTCCACATTACCGGAAATTCCGATGTACGAATGATAAGGTTAAATAAATGGGTTAGAGGTTTCACTAAGACCGGCCAACAATCCCTTAGAATGAACGATGGAATTCCATCCAATCCAGCGGTGCTTTTTGACTTAAGTTTCTTCAGAGACTTAATGACATCTTCCTCGCTAACTAGAGTAAAGCACATGTAGTCTAGTGATTTGTTGGGCAGCTTTTGGACCGTATTGATTAGTGGTGTAAATATGTCTTGGAAATGCCTAGCAAACCCATTAACAATACCTCCTGGAGAAGTCAAAATTTCGGTACCAAATCGCATTTCCCCTGGAATCCTCGTAGATTTCTTCATGGAATTAACAAGTCGCCATAAGGCGTTTGGATTTTGTTTCAAAGTTTGTTCGGTGCAGTTGATATAAGAACTCTTGGCGTTATTAATCATTCGCTTTAATTCCCGCCGTTCTATTTGAAATGATTCTTTGTCTCTCACTTTCCTGGTTTTTATGTATAGCGCTCTGGATCTTTCTTTAATACGTAATTGTCGCACTATATCACCGTTAAACCAAGGAGGATACTTTAATTGGTTTCTGCTTCCAGCTGTCTTTGGGACAAATTGGTCTAAGGTGGAATACACATTCTGGTACAAATATTTACAAGCAGTATTGACATCAACACAAGAATAAAGGACTTCCCAATCGATGTTGGCCATAGCAGTATACAACCCAAAATAATTAGCCTTCTTAAAATTGTAAGACGGTGTTAACTTCCGTTGGAAGTTTATTGATTTGACTTTGCTAGTTACTTGCAACAAAGACATTAAGGGTGGGTGATGGCAATCTACCTTCACTAAAGGCTGAATGTCCTGCATAACATCACATGTTAGCGTTTTAGGTACGATAATAAGATCAAGAATGCGATTATTTATATTGACAACTTTATTGAAAATTTATAGAAAATTTTTTAATAGCACGTACTTTTCACTCCCTAATACAGCAGATCCCGTAGATTTACTATTACAGGCGAAATACTCTGGAATATTAAAATCACCCGTAAAGATGACGTAAGCCTCCAGATACAACATAATAGAAAATAGAAATAGGCTGGGAAAAAAATAACTTACCAATAAAAAAAACCAGCCTTCAACTTAATATCAAATTGTGTTGTAAAATTAATTGTTTGTAATGATGTGAATGCGTAACAAAATTGTAACATCACAAAAAGTAGCAGGTAAACTTCAAGAGGTAACATATAGGTTAAAAACAAGTTTTGGGAATTATGGGTCAGGTAAGCAGGTACCAAGATTCTAGGAAAGGGTGAAATACACAGGATGTGACTCATCTTTGGTGCAATAAAATCCTTTTGTTAAAAGCAAGTTGGAGAATTACATGGCCTTGTAGGCAAATTTAACTAAAAACACGATATGTTGAAATTACTGAATCGCCACTCATTTATCGCACATACATTCTAAACTGAAGAGCTTTGATTAGCGTAATCCCGCTCCTGCAAGATGAGTAACCCGCCCCTGGTTTCGGGGTTTTGAGCCTACAGTTGAATGTCGAAGACAATCACGGAATTAGGTGTCGTACTTCAAATGGTTACAGTTTTTACCACCCCCGTGACTACTTCATTCGCGGAGAACATTGTTAGTAACAAACAACAAGTCAGTACATACATCAAACGAATCGGTAATTTCCACATATTAAAATAAAATGATCAATACTTATATGAATGTTACTTCAGGGACAAGACCAAGTAATCAACATTAATAAACTTGAATTAAGCAAGCGTTAGACCAAAAACGTAAACAATTACAAACAATAGCGTAACGGTATCACATATGATTCTGCATGGCGGTTAACCAACTAAATTTCAAAAACAAAGATTCAAACAAAAAATATAAAATGCGGCATACAAAACACAAATACGATATAAAGAAAGGCAAAAATTACTACCTGGATTAAAAAACACAAAATAACAACAAACATTTATGGAGCGACGCGTACACAACCGCCATTCAAGACAAGATGCGAAACGTAACCCACATTCGTGCTTTCTAGATAGCGCAGGCAGCTTTTCCCCTCCTAAAAGTTACATGGTTGGTTGTATGTATCGTCGTAAGTTGTATATACAGGGTGGAACCTTTCAACGCCGTAAAGTACGTTCTGCGTTTTACCGGAAATGAAACGAATGCGCACGCACCACCATGAATACCATGATGTATCGCGTTGGTAAATAGCATATTTACAGGGTAAAACATAAAATTAAATCTTTGCAAATTATACACGTTACATCATTTTTCATTTTTACTAATTGTCAACATCTTTTTTTAATCTTATATTATCAAACCTCAGTACTCATCACGTTCCACATGTATGGAAAATGCCGTGAACTTTGTACTGTAACAGATAATTATGTATTTGAATTAGATACAGGCTTGCCAAATCACCTTCGAAACAGCACCATCCCGGACCGACGTTGTACAACTTCCGACATTCCACGTGACCTTTAGTTTGGGACAATCTACCTCGTAGTAACTTCAAATTCAAGTTTGATTCTAAGAAAAGAAATGCACGAAATTTGTTAGTTAGCGCCTGCTCTAATTAGAGGAAGAACGGACAAACATTTAATGATTTATTCGTTTTTTAACTCCAATAAATGTGGTCACATTGCAAAAGATGTTCTGGGTATAAAATAAATAAAATGAATAACATAAATAAAATTAATAAAATAAATATTAACTAATAATAAATTATATAAAAAAGACAAACATTAAAAAGGAAATAATCGCCCTCTCCATACACATACACATGCATGATGCCCATTTCTCACGTCTCTATCATTGCTGTCAAACGTCGACGTTTTTGTAGTTTACGTAGTTTATTTCAAGTGTGTGGTAACTGGTAAGTATCATTTTAAGCAGACATAATTCATTTATTGTTCCTTAAAATTCATTTTCAACCGATACAGGGTATTTACATACATAGCGTGTTCTAAACTGTAATGCTACTGAAGCAAAAGTTTATTTTAAATTTGCTATACAAAGGTGAAGCTGGAGGGGGAGTGGATGGAAATATGTATACGTGCTCCAAATTATGATCACTACGGGTCCTAGCAAGTCTAATGGCCATCTTGAAGTTTCCGCTCCTCATCGAGCTCTGTTTTCTTCTCGCCCTTGATCAAACTACGAACTAATGGACTCAACAGCTCGGTTCTAATTGGTTTGTTTTTCCTCCCCGTCAACCAACTTATCAGAAGTCCAAACACAATTACAATAATTGCGCTCATGAGGCTGTTGTACCACATGGAAATACGATATAAGTAAAAAATCTGGTCAGACGTTGGAGATGGTGTGCTGTAAAACGAACTATATTTTAGACAGTCTATGTAAAAGTACCCAATTACACTATGGCAGTGCTATTGAATTGGCATCCACTAAGCGACATCGGTTTCTTGGGGTCTCGTAGTAATCCCGACATTCTATACCAGTTCGTTCCGATTACTACCCAACACGCAAATGCAAGTCCGGCGATTCCACCAGCTAGCGCTCCCTTGAAAGTACCTAAAGATTGAGTGCGAGGTCAGGAGGTTGCTATTACTTACTTCGGCGTTTGCGCTCGGGAATAGCATCCCTAAAGTAAACAAACCCATAATCGGACCGCAGGTGACCGCCTGTAGGACATTGGATAAAGGAAATATACCGTTGACGTTTTCTATCAAGTAGACCAGTAGAATGCAAAGAATACCAAACATAACGACGATACTCTTCAAAATGTTGCTCGCTCTTTGATCCGTCATGTCTTTGGGCAGGAACGGAAGTAACAAGTCTTCGTAGATAATACAAGCTACGCTATTTAGAGATGATGAAAAAGAGCTGGAAGAAATACGAGAGTATAATTCGTAGTTTATGGTGTTGCGGAGTTGAGACGAAAGCAATCCTTACAACAACAGGTACTTAGTTCCAACATTTAGCTTAAATTGTTAATAAAATTGGTAAGTTTGGTTTCACCTAAAATTATGCAGTTGTTTAAGAATGTGCGCATTAATTCAGCGTAAGTGGAGACACGTTCTGTTATCAACGCTAATTATGATTGGCGTTTTATCTGTAAAAAAATCGGAAAAGGAGGTTTGTTTTATTATGGATTTGGTGTTTCGTTAGATACTGCAAGCAGGAGGCTGCCAGCTGGCTGGTTCGCGACGGTTGGAAAAGAGCGTATACGTTTCGACGTGCTATTTTCAATTGGGAGTTTCGCCCTATTTGATTGATAAAATGTCCTTATCTTGAAACAAATTATAGCTTTGCAGGGATAAGGAAACTTCTAATATACGACCGGAAAAAACACGAGATAAACTTAATCTTTTAATACGTAATTTTTTGCAATTACCAAAACAATTATTTAAACGAAATCAAACATCTAACATGTTAAGAAATTCAAAAGTCGGGAATCATCGGGCATTTCTGGAACGTGTGCTAAGCGATAGATGAGCGCATGTGCGAGGAAAGACAATGGCAACCCTGTTTCGGATCCACCTTGATTGCTCTTTCGCTGCCGCCTTTATTTGTCGCCACTCTGTTACTTGTAATCTTCCTTTTAAACTTGAATGCGTCGAGTTTTTGCGTTATTTAGCTCTTAGTTTACATGAGTTCCGCTGGTCGTACGACGGATCTGGCGCCATCTTGTCAAATGGGTTCACTTTTTTCAGCTGCTCCCGATTCCATCGCGATCAGATGAGACTGGAATTCTTCTAAAGTATTCGCTTCTCCATCCATTTGAACTGTACGGAATTAATGCGAACTACTACAAACACTTGCACCCACTATTACTCTAGCACTTTGCGACACTAAAACGCTTACCATGTAATCATTAGATCCACCGTGTACAATCTAAGTTGATCCCAGTAGATGACCAATGTATGTTCTGGACCATGACGCCACAGCCAATCAGAGAAGAGCACGCTTTTTAAATTGGTCCAACAGGTTCGTGAAGCGGTCTAACATATTTGAGAACCGGTACTAGTTCACACAGCTGTTGAAACGTGTTGTGGAAAAGCTGTTGGACCAGTAGAAAAAGCTCTTGGATCGCTTCACGAACCTGTTGGACCAATTGAAAAAGCTGTTGGACCGCTTTACGAACCTGAAAGGGAGGGGCGTACGAGGGCGTCCAGAACATACATTGGTCATCTACTGATCCCAATAAAATCCCACTTCTGAAATTTATGTTAGCTATTTTTCACAAATAAAAACTTCTTTATTTAATATGTTGTTATTAAGAAAATTCAAACAAGTAACTAACTCTCTCTCACCACCGCATTTTTTTTCTTTCCCCTCTTAACTCCCAAATGTCCCAGAAACCATAGAATATAAACATCATAGAATAGTTAAAAAAGCGCGAACGCTATTACAATTTGAATTATAAAAGTTTTTTTATTAATTATTTATTTATTTATTTATTTTTTTATTAACGAGCTCCTAGCGAGTTTATAATTTTGTGGTGTCTGTCCGTACGTCCGTCCGTCCGTTAGCACGATAACTCATAAACGAATGGCCGATTACGATGAAATTTCGCAGGTGGATTCTTTATCAAATTTGTAGATCGGAGTTCAAAAATTGGCAATCTAGACCAAAAAATAAAGTAGGCCCTTTTGACATCTCCGTTAGTTATGAACCGAATTGCATGAAATTCAATATGCGCATAGCTTTAGCCATACAAAACACAATTCCAAAAGTTGAGCCTAATCGATCAGCATTCACAGTGCCCTTTGCACATCTCGACCATTTACAGACCGAATTGCAAACCTTCTTATTTATGAAGGTATTTAAATAAAATTTGATACATAGGCACTTGGAATAAAACCAAATTTTACCCCAGTTTCAAAATTTCGTTTTGGGCATGCGCAGTGCCAACTTTCTTATTTATGGAGGCATTCAAATGAAATTTCATACATATACACTTTAAATAGAAGCAAAACTAACATCAGGTTTAAAATTTGGTTTTGCACATGCTATAGCCATACCCAGGAGCTCGTTTGCTATATTTGTTTAATTTATTTATTTATTTTTAACTTAACTGCATCTGCACAGATTGTTCTGATTGCGTTTTCAAATAAGCAAAAAGGCCAATTACCTGACATAATTAGCGAACAGAAACGTACACGCTCTTTTCCCGTCGCGAAATTAACAGCTCCCATCTCTTCCTTATTTTTCCTATTTAAAAGAGCTACACTTCCACTAAATCATCGTACTCCTACTTCCGCAAATTTCAAATGCAACGCCAAATCGTGACAAGCATCCTTTTGCTTTCAGCGCCTGCGCACACGACCGGATAGCACAAATGCACTCGACCAGATGTTCCTTAATTTTAAACAACGCAAATTTCACATTCTACAATTTCATTAAACAAACCTACGATGATAGTGAACTAATGCTAATGATTGTGTAAACCCACCATTATACTCGTAAACAGAATGGTTGATGTGCCATTCTGTAATAAATCGTTAAACGTGTAACAAGTGTGTTTTTGAATATGGTCTAAGGTTTTTGATTAAAATAAATTCAAATGTTACCTTAGGCATGCACTAAGGATCCCTGCAGTGAACAATCCTGGTAATCCCGAAATGTGACGTGCTGTTTGTAAAACAAAATACGGAACCAACTGATCATCTCGCTGTACGTGGTTCGTTTGCAATGGATCACAGTCCGCAAATCTAGCATACATGGCGTTGCCCAAAAAGACGCTCATAGCTTTCAGCGCAACAACCCCAATACATTCAAAGATTATTACTCTGAAACCAACTGCTACTAACAATGGACTACGGGGCGATGCAGCTTTACTTTGTAGCACACACGATTGTTGGAACGGACAAGTACTTCTGCATGGACTGCTGACTGAGACACAGAATGGATAACCACTGGACTGTACCGCCGATTACTAGTTGCCAAAAACCATCTCTTATTGTAGGATCAATACTGAAACTGCCACCAATAATTAGACGCACTTGTAACCGTTTGGTTGGTACTCAAATATGTCGAAGCGACCGGTTTCATTATTTGCCTTCCAAAGCGTTTCGAAACCTCCAGAAGATTTTATTCCAAAGCATAAAACCACAAGGCTAGACACAACGATTCCGAAAAACTGAAGAGCGTCGCTCCAGATAACCGCCTTAATGCCGCCAATTGCGGTGTAAAGCACGCAAACCAAACCAACTACATACAGCACGAGATGCGTGTTGAAAGTTGTTACTAAAAATTATCCAGTGATTGAATGGAGGATTTTGGATTGTGGACTTACCCTGTGTAAACGCAATCACTGGCAAATACAGGGCGATCGGATTATGAAATGCGGCGAACAAAATGCATAGAAAAGACGCCAACATTCTGATTTTGCGATCGAAACGAATCGATAGGTATTCGTACATACTTGTCAGTCTCAGTTCGAAAAAGACGGGTAAGTAGACATAGTAGGTAAGAATGCAGACCAGTATTATCGTCAGACATAACCAGATGTAGTTGGAGCCAAACTTGTACACGTCAACAGGTACTGCCAGCACTGTAACTCCAGATATGTGGCTGGAAGAAGAAAATCGCAGTGCTGCCACGCTGCGCAACTCACCTGGATATTAGCGAGAATGCTACTGGCAAATAGTTCATAGTTTGACCGCCGAGGAGATATTCGCCGGTGGTCAGTTTTCTTTTGGCAAAGACTCCAAAATATATTCCGATTGCGGCACTGAAGAAGACCACAACAATGAAAACGGTATAGTCTATCCATGAGAATACCAGTTGGGGATCTTCCATATTGATCAGCTACAAATCTGCAACATGAAAATATTAGTGCTTTGTGTGATGGTGTCAAGTAGAATGGTATCACGAGGAGGTGAGTCGTTGACCAAGGTAAAGGACTTGACTCAGAGGCATTTATATTAACTAAATGATAAAGTGTTTGGTTTTTCAAGGTAGATATATTTTGCTGTCGCCTTCAAGAGGACTATTCCCGAATCGATTCCAGTTTTTCGCAAATATAGTTTAGCTATGCAAGCTTACCAGAGATTAAGTATTTCTCTACACTTTTCAACTGAAAGATCTCCAACGTACTGTACATATGTCACATATTTGTTAAACAGATACACATCACATGTACGAAGTAGGTTCAAGATTATTTAAGAACTCTACGTTATCAGGCCATAAATAATTTCTGTGTTGAAGGTAAAGATAATATGATTTTCTGCTGTAATAATGTTAGAAGAGATGTTTGTGCGTACCAAAAGAGCTTAAAATGGATATTATTGTTAACCCTAACCACTCATAAAAAATTGTTACGGGATTCAGAAATTAATATACTTGAGGGAACGAGATAGTAGAAACAGTCGGAGCAGAACTGAACTGCAAGATTGCACGTTGAGCCCTATGATTCCTTTCAGCTGACACATGTGAACACTTCGTTTCGGGATATTTAAGATTTGTTGTTTTTCGAGGAATATACCACTCGTAATGCTGAAAATCCAAAATCTTGTTATTTTCTCAAGTCGATAGTTTCGCAACAAAATTGGCGCTCTATATTTTGGAAAATCAAGAATTACCGGATGCGTCGTGACCGGTTAAATGGGATGTTCTGACGACAGACTGACGGTCGATAACGAGCGATAAAATAGTGTGTGTGATACGTGTCATTTTCTGAAGTGCTACAACCCGACGCAGGATGTGAGTTAACAATTCTAAACTTTGGTAATTTCTGATTAATGACTTTTAATATGATAAGATTGGTCAGTGGGAAAAAGTTGATTGGTTAAACCTATTAGCGCCATTTTGTAGGTGTTTTTGGCGAATTGGGAGTGGAGATTACGAGAAAGAGAGTTTGTTTCTGAGGATTAAGCGTTAAGCTGTCAGCGAGAGACCACGGTTAGGTCTCGCGGATGAAATAACGTGATAATCAACAAAATTAATTACCTGGTGGACCAGACGAGTAGCGAAAGCGCTCGGAGAAATCACGGACAAGCGCGTGTTACGTACATGAATTTGTCTCGAACCAGAAAAATGACGTCGACCAGCCGTGGAAATTATTGGCAGAAATCGCGTGTATAGCCAGTAGTAAATAATTTTGTGGTGTGAAAATAGAAAAAACTTGCGTCGAAGGTGCTAAATATGAATTGAATTTATACGTTATTAAATAAACGTAAATTGGCGCGAATAAAACAATTATCGCGTGGCATGAATAACGCAAATATTACCCGTGCAAATACACTGGTTGAATTTTCAGATAGTAAATGGAACTATATAGGGTACGTTCCACTTAACGCCCACAACGATCACGACCGCGACCGCGGTTTTATCGTTCCACTAGCTTAGAGGCGTTGTGGGCGAACCCTTAAGTGGAACGCTTTTGAGTGCGGTGTGACGTCACGCGTGAGTTTTCCAACATGGACGCCGTTGAGGAAATCATAATGCGTAAAGGATACAAAGTGGGATGGATTATGAAAAGTCACATTAAGTTAGTAAATATTTTTTTATTTTTCAGTACCAATTATTGACACATATACTTCTTCGCTTTACACAAGATATTGCTTCTTGTTAATAAAATATTGAAGACGACTTTTAAATTTCTATCATAAATGCTGCGGCCATACTTAATACGATGATAATGAACACTTCTCCCCAGAATTTCTTCTGGGAATGCTGCTTCGAAAATAATTTCTCTTCTTCATTCAAAACTAACATGCATTTTCATTAATCGTTGCATTACCATTTATACGAGTCTCATTCGCATTCCCTGGTAAAGCACTTTGCAGCAAACTAGTTGCAAATCTAAGATCTAGAATAAAGAAAATTGTGTTAGAGCAGAATTTTCCTTAACAAATAACTAACATTCACGAATCAGCATATATACTTACCAGTTTGTGCATGTAGAACATCCATAGTGTAATGTCCACCACAAGGTTACGTTCTGAAACACGTAATTATATTTTCTCCATAGCGAAAACGAAAAATTTGCAACGCATGCGTGTTCAAACAATCAGTGTCTGACAGTTAAATGTCTCTAGAAATGTCTCCTGTCAAGAATGTAAGGTTATAAAATTAGAACGCCCACGCTGGCCCAGGTATAATACGATAGGCGAGCGCCGTGGGCTCGTTGCGGTCGCTAGTAATGACGTCATATCTGACGTCGCGATTGCGACCATAACGACTGTGGTCGTTATGTGGAACGGCAGCCGGGCGTCGTGGTCGTTGCGGGCGTTAAGTGGAACGTACCCTTAGCTAAGTGACGTCAGTGTCATTCACCCGCCGTAGTACAATAATGTGTACGCAAATAATATGTGTCTCGTTTAGATTACCTAATATCAAGCGAAATCAACAAACCCTCTCGTTACCCGAATTCCGAATCCAATGTTATGCGACATTTCTGTTGGAACTGATCCAAGATTCCAAGGTTGAACGACATGAAGGGTAGTTTTAGCGTTTTATAAATAAGGTAAAAGTCTGTCTTTCCATCCATTGTAGTTAATATATACAGATCTCTTTAAAGATACTGATGGTACAGAATTTTGTCGTGTAAATTAGTAAGGTGAAATTGTTCCTTAAAAGACTCGGTAGGCTCACTTTTAACCTGTTTGAAAATCCTTTTTTGAAAGAAAGTTTCCCAATGCAAATCATTTTTTATATTTAGCTCAGTTAGAACGAAATAACATTTTTTCTTCATTTGAATTCAATATTAAGTAACGAAAATATCTTCTGAGTTGAAATTATTTTATTTATTTATTTTTTGCCAAGGCTGCACTACCAACACAACCCACTATACATTCCTTACCCGAAGCAGGGGCTTTAGTACCGCGATCCAGCTTCAACTAACTGAACTGCGCCACACGGGCCGGTTAAGAGCAACAAGTTAGTTAGAGGGATTGTTAAATTAGTAAATAACAAGTGACCACTTGAAAATAGCTTAGTACTATTTTGGACATGGGATTTTTCGATATAAAATTAATATTGTGGTGGGGGGGGGGGGCTATTTTCCTTTTCACGTTTTAAAAGAAATAGGTCAATTTCCATACAGTTTCGATTCGTGGCTGTATCGTTAGCCTTTGTTTGTACTTAATATATCATTTTTCTTGTATTTCCTCACATACAAAACTCTTTGTTTTGTTCAATTCCCTTCCCGATTGTATCTGACATCCCACCATATAAAAGAATCGCCATAGTTTAACACAACTTCCTAGGACTCCCATGTGCACCACTCTACTACCGACCGCTACCGTGCTTTGAATGTGGTACGGAACGTCCGACGTTCCCAGAGTTGCCAACTGTCAGTATAGGGTAATTTAAAATTGCAGTGCCGGATGAGGCAAATAGTTTACATGCAAAATAAATACGGCAAATAAGCCCTTAATGAAACTTGTTCCTATACTATTTTATTTTATTTTTTAAAATTTTATTTTGCCCCTATTTTTGAGAGTTTCAGCCAAGGCTGCTCTACCAACCCAATTTGTAAATGTGTAGTGCATTTACAAATATTCATGCCCGAACCCGGATTCGAACCAGGGACCCTTAGTACCATAGTCCAGCTTTAACTGAACTGCGCCACACGGGCTGACTATCGCGCAGTATATAAATTGAAGGGTTCATCCAACTTTGCCAGAACACAAAAAAAACACTCGGTAGATGCTCTCAGAACATTCACGTGTTTAATTACCTATCCTCGCAGTAAGTTTGTACTTACCGGATTCGTCAAAATTCCACTTGTCGGGGTCGTTTGATTTTTCTTAAAAGGACACAGACACCATTCCAAAAGTGATTACCCATACTACAGCACATAAGATTTTATTAACATTTTCACAATGTATACACACAATCAATGCGTGCACTATCATTTTAACGAAGCACGACTATCTGTGTAGTGTAGGTACACATAAAGTGATTTTAGTTTCGCATTATCGTTTGCATGCACTTTTTATGTCGCTACAATCAACTACTTACTACAATGTACAAATGTATTGTCGTCGAGGTTCAAATGCATCGAACACGATGACCTTACATAGCTTTGAACTTATAGGTAAGACTAGGAATGAAGTGGAGAAATCAAGGTCATCTTCGGTTTCATCTTTGTCCGTACGAGACCCTGGTCTGGTGAAGAAAGTTTTATGGATTTTGATAAGGTAACTGAAGATCCATATAACATAGTTGCTGAATCTGATGATTCTGATTTCTACAGCGAATCGGAAGTGATATTTGATAATTAGAAGTATTGTGATGTAGGTAGGTACTCAAGTCTAAAGCTCCCGCGCTATCAAAAAACGAGAAAAACACGAACTCTGAACATCAGCACTGTAATACAAACCACTCAAAAATGGCCTGATTCCTTACGTTGTAAAGGACTAGGTGTCGTACTCACTCGTTTAAAAACGGCCACCCGAATGGCTATTCCCTCCAAAACTAAACAGATTCCATTTAAATTTCAAATCAAACAGTGGCACGTGTCTAAAGCTGCGCCCCCTTACGTTAATTGCAAACAACGCGATTACCTGAAGTAGGTACAGTCATAGTGTAAGTACACTATGGTACAGTGCAGAAAGAACACAAAATAAAACCATATACCTATTGGGTTAATAGTATAATGCGTATATTGAACCTTTTGATCAGTTAAGCCCGCTTGACATGGAGCAATAAAAATTGCAATTGCATGCAAGTTGCAAGAAAAATTGCGAAAGGCATGCGCAGTTCAAAGCCAGCTGATCAATTGCTGCAAGAGACTTGCATGCAATTTTTATAGGACCGGTGCTATTTTTCTTGCATGAATCGTGCAATTCTAGGGATAAATCTAGTTGTTTTTGTGTCACCAACCTAGTAAAATACAGCGGCGGCAACTATGATGCTGAGAGACGCACTCATTACTTGTTTTTATTAATCTTATTTATTCTTGTAATTTTCATGTTTCTTCAAGCAATCAAAATTTAATTTTCATTTGAGGTTAACTACTTTGTTGACAAATCCATATGTTTCTTCTGTTGGCAGACATGTGGCAATTGAAATAGAATTGCACCATGTCAAATACCATGCAATGCTTATTGCATGCAAGGATTTGACCTTGCAATTTCTTTCTGCAAGTTCTTGCGCGTTGTATTGCTCCATGTCAAGCGGCCTTTACTTTAATTGTCAATAATTTCGAACTGTTGTCAATGCAGGGACGGGATCCACAGGAGGGGCAAATGAAAATTTCCCCCTCCAAGAGCCTAATTGATTGCATAGAATACAGCCCAAGTTTGAAACAAATTGTCGTTTGATTGTTATAAAGAGGCGGTGAACTAAAAATGTTACTCTACGTAATTTTAAGGGGGAAGACCCCCGGAACTCCCCCCTATTATGTGTGGTTTGTCCTACAAGCAGACTGAGTAATCTCCTAAATATATATTTGATTTTATTTCACTTCTACACTTAACAGTTCTATATATATATTACAAGTCACGCCCCGTGTCTCTCCTCCCGGCGCCCGCGTTCGAAGTGGAAGTGGCTAGCGTACCTTAGTGTGGTTATAACATACCTCCCCCCTTTAAATAGAACATGTTCAGATAGTTAACTACGTGGGAGATAAATTTCGTATTCGCCTGAGCGTATCCAAGCTGGCGCTTGCACGTCCCGTGCTGGTCGTAGCGGTCGCGGAGCGGCAAGTGGTGATTGGTTTTCAGTTGCCATCGGAAATCTGGATTCATGTTTACTATTCTGTGAGCAGTCCGGTTGTGTAAAGCTTGGTGGACGAAGGTCAGATATATCGTCTTCTGTAGGTATTAACGGTGCAGGCTCTGATGTATCTGACACGCGAGGCTCTTCTCTCGGTGAAGATGAGGATTGTTGAGTTACCTGCTCACTGTCTTCATCGTCCCATAGCAGAAGGGCGGTGTTAGTAGAACTGGGGCTAGATTTAGCTTGGCGCCTCCTTCGAGGAGGTGGTCCGGGATGCAGTTGTCCCTTGTTGCGGATGTGCTCCTCGCCGTCGTCGTCTCTAAGGCGGTACATTCTGTGGCCCAATGCTTCGAGAATCACGCCATGTGAGAACTTTGGCGCACCTATTCGACGGTCCCGAAATGATATGTGTTGGCCTGGAATAAACGGTGTTGATAAGTCATCATTTGAGAGTTTTTGTAGTTGATGGTTTGAGGAGGTCCCAAGGCGTTCGTAAAGAGCGATTGAATACTCGCTGAGCAGGAGCTTCACCCGTGGCGCTGCATGGTGTAATTCGCATGGCAAAAAGCGCTCGGGCAATCTTGGCATGGCAATCCCCCTCTGTAAATTTTTTTAGGAAGCGCTTGAAGGTACCTACTGTACGCTCGGCTAAACCGTTTGATTGAGGGAAATAAGGGGCTGATGTAAGGTGCTTGCATCCATTTCGAGATAGAAAATTGTTAAAATCTGCGGAGACTAGTTGACTGCCGTTATCTGATACCAAGAGGCTGGGGATGCCGTGTGCAGCAAAGGCGTATCGCATGTGGCGTATGAGTTCTGCAGCTGTCATGGTGTGGACCGTAAATATTTCCGGCCAGCGGCTCCATGCGTCGACGATAACGAGGTAGTCTTGGCCCTCGTAGGAGCAGTAATCCACGTGAACGCGCTGCCAGTGGTTCTTTGGAGTAGGCCAGGATTTGTACTCGCAGCGTGGCGTGTTCAGGTTCTCGCGGCACGTAGGGCATGTTTTTACGTAGGCAAGTATGTGTGAGTGTAACCCGGGCCACCATATGTAACTGTAGGCAACGGCTTTCATCTTGGTGATGCCATGGTGTGCCGCGTGGAGGCTATCCAGAATGCGCTGCTGGAGTACAGCTGGTATAACGACTCGTTCTCCACGTAAAAGTATGCTGTCTAATGTAGTCAGTTCCGCTTTCACGTTGTGGTACGGCTTCAGAGCTGCGGGCAAAGGTGTCGGCCAACGGTCCAAAAAAACGGCTTCGTGTACTGCACCAGTCGGAATACGATACCCAACCATCACTGTACTAACATTTGCCCTCACCAAGATGTCATCTTGGATCCGTCTCTGTGTCAATGTATAAGATAATTTGTTACAAATGATTGATAATACACCACGATAAATATAAATCACATACATAATATAAAAACAGGTTAGAAGCAAGTCCTGGTTGGTTTTTGTTAAAAGCAAGTCTTGCTGGTGAAATCAAACTATCCGCAAAATATATGAGAATCGGTGAATCGCAACTCAAATATCGCACATGGGTTCTAAATGGAAGAGTTTTTGTTAGCAGAATCTCACCCCCGAGATAGGCAACTCGTCCCTTGTTCGGGGTATCCAAGCCTACAGTTGAGAGTCGAGATCATCCCGGCATTAGTTACGACTCATTTGGTCACAGTTATTTGCCACCCCCGTGACCGTCTGTATAGATCAAACAATTCGATAACTTCCAAGTGTTTCATTTGATAATTTTAGTTCTCAAATTGTAATTGTGATTATTTAAAATGTTAATTTTTTTGTATATAACAAAAATAATACTTTAATTAAGTTTTCTTTTTCTGCGTTTACCTACATACAATAAGGTAATAAAATTCAATTTGTCAACGAATAATAGAATAAAATTAATACTAATTCAAAAAACAGTATAACTGGATAGTTAGATACGTTTTGGCACTACCTTAAGGTGTAAATGGAAAGCTCATTATCTAGGTATCTTATTTCTTAGGCACGTTGCACAATACAACTGACCATACATACTTCGTGAAACGGGTTTTAAACAAATTACGCTGCCGACTATAGCACCTGTCGCCGCCACCATGATCCAACCGACGCCGCTGCTTCCGCCCACAGTTGCATTCCCCCTATCGAAGAATCTCGACATTCTTCGATAGGGGGAATGCAGGACCAAGCACAGAAAACCAGGTCATTCTTCTCCTCCCCCAGCAGGAACAGAGTGCGGAAAGATATTCCACCAACCTGTAGCGTGTACGACTCCGCAACAGCAACATCTACGTCAGGCGGTACTCGTTTATTTCGTCCGGCAGGATGACATTTTCGAAAATCCTAATTAAGATGAACAAGGGCGGTCTTCTTTTTATATAAACATTCGTAATTAAATTTTATTAATTGTTGTTGGTCTATGTAACGGGGTGGAGATGATTGGGTTATACGAGAAAGCGGCCAAGGTGGTTTTTGTTTACATTCTATTTAAACGTAGAAAGTTCCGGGAATTGTTGAGTCTTTATTTGTTATCTAATGTAAATGCTTAATTTAATAGACAGGTAGATGTGATTTATCGCCTTTTCTGTGTAGTTAAAAAAGATGAAATTTGATTTTTCCTAGAATTTAAGTTTGGATTTATCTCTGAATGTCTGATAACAAATTGATTTAGAAAAATAATCTGTTTTTGTTGACCTAATAAGGTGCGTTGATAGGATAGTCTTTGTTGTCAACTGTGTATGAATGGTTGTTGTAATTTTTATTCGAATGAATAGTCCAGGGAATAGAAGGTTTTAACTTGCGAAATGAGAAGTAGTTCCAATTTCTTTTGCATGTCATACACAGTCATCTGGTGGTTAAGAATCTAAGTTTTCGACCTCCCACCCCTTGTGTTTCCCCCATACCATCCCCAAAACCCCTGAAATTTGGTTGGTTTCTTAGTTTGTCAATCATATCTTTTTAGTGGTTCACTTTAGAAAAAAATATTGTTATCAGAAATTGTAAACCATAAAATTCTACACAACTTTGATATACAATACTTTTTTGTGAAATGTTTATTAAAAAAGATATAGAGCTTTAAAGTATCTTATATTTTTAAGAATTCTGAAATTTCTACCTATGTAGTATACTTTATCTCTATAATTAAGAGTTTTATGAGAGAATATCTTGAACTTATCGTGGTACCCTACTCTGCACCCTAACCAAAGGTGATGCATAATAATTCAACTTTCAACCCTTGCTAGTGGGGATATTTAAATCACTGTGAGATTGTAGCGCTTTTTAATATAGGTACGTTTGAAATTAAGAAAAATTGTCTCACTTCAGTTCAGCTTCCCCCCCCCCCTCTTCCCCCGGAAGGAATGAATATTTCAACCCCCTTGTGGCGATTCATAAGTTAGTCATCAGAGAGAGTTTTGTAGCAAATAAAAAAATGTTTACTATTCATGTTCATATTATAAGTTAATGATTTGTAAATTGTGTTCGAAAGCGGTACCTATAATCTTAGATAGTTGAACAATCACTATAGGGGGTTGAAGTAATCATCCCTTTTTGTAGGAGATGGAAGGGGTTATACCAAAGTAAGACTCTTTTATTATTTGATAATTGTATTCGAAAGTGCCATAATCACACAGTGATTTAAATACCTACTACGACTAAGGGGTTAAAGTGCTACCATCCCCTTTGATAGGGGTGCAGGGTACGGAAACTAATAGCACCATAGCTTTATAATCGATATGAACCTTATCTTTGAATATAAAAATTTTATATTCAAAGACCTTATGATTATAGAGATAACATACAATTTCGTTAAAATATGTACATACTGCATAGGTACATAGAAATTTCGGAATTTTCAAAATAAAGACAACTTTGAAGCTTTGTATCTTTTGAAATAAAAAATTTACAAAGAAGAAGTAGTCAACAAATTTGTGTTGTGATGGTCTACAATTTCTAATAATATTTTTTTGTAAAGTGAACCTATAAAAAGATATGATTGAAAAACTAAAAAACCAACCAAATTTCTTTGGTTTTAGGGGTATTACGGGGGAAGCACAAGCCGTGGGAGGTCGAAAACTTGGATTCTTAACCACCAGATATTCCTTCATGACATGCAAAAAAATTGGTACTTCTCGTTTTGCAGGAAATGGTCAATTTTCAGTCTCTATTTCCCGGACTAGAAGGGATTCGCCTTAAATAGGACGTTAACAAGAAAAGCGCCGCTTTTTAGCCACGTTCAGCGCGTTGAAGATTTAAATTTATCTTTTTGCCACGTTGATAGCGGAACTACGTTTCGTTGAAGATTTATTAGCTTCTTACGAGTTCCATCGTTGAATTACGGCCAGTTTATTATTCATTTGAAGCCACAGCCAGCATCGAAAGTCTACCCGAAGAGAAGATGCTGCGATTATCCGATGTCGATAGTGTAACAGTGTCATTTGTGTTAATTGAAAATTTTTATTTTTGCGAACTGTGTACGTAGGTATACCCTTTTATTGGATATTTCAAATCCCGAACAAGTAATGTAAGTAAAGTCATCATTTTAGTCTATTTGTAATAAATGTTTGTGTTTTTGTACCATATTTTCCTTTTATGCTAAGATTAAATCGCACTTTTGTAATTTTCACATTAATTTCCTTGTGTTTCATTTACAACGACTTCATTTCTAATTTACCTGTCTTTTTGTTCGATGCTTTCCCAAGGTCCATTTTATTTATTCAAAATGTTGCAGTTTAGTTTGGAGTTTAAGGTAGATACCTATTTAGTTGACCCACTATCTGGTAGAAGTTAACAGGTTAACTGAGAGCTGAGTCGAATCTCTCCTCTGTACTGGAGAGAAGTTCTGGTTAACAGTTCAGATAACGGATCCATGCGAATTTTAAAGAAAAAAGTGTCAGAAATGCTCGGAAATGGCCTAATTTTTCGAAAGGTGATAGTTTTTTGCGCAAATTTGCCATATTTTCACAATTTCCAAAAAAAATGTTTGTAGTAGTTTCTTCATTGTACAATAGATAGTGCTGTGATTTTGCCATAAACATAGATATATAAATACCTAGATACAGCCATCCTTAACAAACGTACCTCGGTTTTTAAAAAACATATCAAAGAAATTTGTACATCTCTCCATTACTTTCTAACCAAGAAGAAACATGTTCTATCTCTTTTTATTGCATTAACCACTATGTCGTACGCGAATCGGACGCTTAAAACAAACTTAGCGCGTCCCATAAAGGCCGAAACCCATTGGCAACACGCCACGCCACGCTACGCCACGCCACGCCATGTGACGAAAATGTATGCGTATATTCATCCATTTATTTACATGTACCTACCGCGTACACACTTGACACACGCTATGCCACGCCACGCCACGCCACCCCACGTGTGACGATTCAAAACCCTCAGATGTGACCGACGCGTGTTGGTACGTGTGAATGTTCCCCGGTTGCCTCTCCACTCCCGCGGGAATCTGTTTCCGTATTTATTTTAAGAGGGGCATTTGGCGGGAAGGTTGCCGATAGATGGCGAACAAGTAGAAAATCACCTACAATTTTATTAAGCATGCAATGTCTTTCACGAATGAGTAGAACGTTTTTAAATATCGTAATCAAAAAAGGAAAGTTAGGTTTTGGTATTAAAGGATTTAATATTTTGTGCACCCAGAATCTTCTTTTTAGCGCATTTTTGCAAATTTATTTGTAAAAAGTAGCTTTTAATCTCACTTTGGCTGGCTGGCTTGTGGCCGGCTGGCTGGTCGGCTGGCTGGCAGCAAATGTGGAGTCAAATCTTCAAACGCGAATTGCGGGTGAACGGGACGTCGGAAGTGGGTACCGTCAAAGGGAATGTGGTAGCCCCCGACATGATCTTACTGATGGTGGAGTCAAATCTTCAAACGCGAATTGCGGGTGAACGGGACGTCGGAAGTGGGTACCGTCAGAGGGAATGTGGTAGCCCCCAACACGATCTTACTGATGGTGGAGTTAAATCTTCAAACGCGAATTGCGGGTGAACGGGACATCGGAAGTGGGTACCGTCAAAGGGAAAGTGGTATCCTTCGACAAGATCTTTTATTCATGGTTGAGTCAAAAGTGGCTAATAGAATACTGCCACACAAAAATGCGCTGAAGTCCCTTCGATCTCACACGAGGACTTTGATAATTTTTTTCTGATTCAAAACGATGGCAGCAGGAGCACATTATTCTAAAGAACTCTCACTAAACGAACTGCTTGCGCTAGTGTAGTCCATCGCACTCAAAGTTACTACTGCCAATTTTTTAAATAAAATGACAAGCGTGTCATCACGTGGCGTGTTACAAATATGTACACAAACTGTCCCACGTGAACCTATGCCACATGGCGTGGCGTGGCGTGGCGTGTTGCCAATGGGTTTCGGCCTTAAGTCATGTGACAGTTGACACATTTCACGATCGCGCGAAATCAAATCTAACTAAAAATATTCGCCCTAAACATGATGGGCGGTTTTTTGACTAAATATTATGTGATTATTGCGTTATCAATTGAATACGAATAACATTAGTGCTTGCCATAATGATAGACGCGTCCATAATTGTTATTCCTGAAATAGTTTTATTACATAGAGCTACGCCATTCAAATTTGGGACTATGTTTACCTTGTTTGGCATGATGTGCTGCAGTGAATTCATTGCTGGCTTGTAGAATATAAAAAAAACCGTAAGTAAGTAAAGTTTATGTTCAACAATTTAATTTTAATTGCATGGTTGTAGGCGTAATGGTTACGGAGATTAAGTTGCGACAGGAAGTGAATTCGTTTCCAATTATCATTTTGGCCTACCTATATGATGTTGATGCAGTGCGTTTGTATCATGATCACAAAGAAGGATCCGTGCAATATTCTTAGGAAAACGAGATTTATAGACTGTGTGTGCGTGCAATATCAAATTTTGGTCGCTACGCGTCTTGCCTACCTTTCGGCATATGTCCAATCGGTGGAGTTTCTTTTTGAAATTATAGTGCTAATTGTAGTAAGTAAGCTACACGTGTACATTTATTTAAAATAAATACAACATCTTAGCAATGATATCCAATTGGTGATAATACTCATTTAGTGAACATTCATTACATTTATAAAAGTTCACAATCCGAATCATCGTCAGATGAAATTGACAAATCCGAATCATCACTGTCATTATTAACACTTATTTTATAATAAGAGTTCAGAAACATCAACCAATATAACTTCTCTTTTAAATTAATCACTTTCCACATGTTCACACACTTTCTTCCATTTGTCAGCTGTAATTTTTTCAAATTCTTCATTTTCCAGCTTTCTAAGTAACATCTTCCATTTTAAATGTAACATTTCTTGCTGCTATGCGATTTAAATAAATAAAAAGGCGGTTTATTTATGTTGTAAAGTCTCAAATCTGATAATTTTCTGTGTGATTTGTGCTAACAATTTGATTGACAGCTATAATAAATAATGCGAATCTTGTCTTCCATGCTCAGGGTACCTCTATAAAGGATAGCGCTATACGTAATTAATGTGCCGAAAGTGATGGTAATAGATGATACGTCCTTTTGAACTATGTTGGGGTATGGCTGTATCTATGTATTTATATATCTATGGCCATAAATAAAACATCTTATTTTGTTTTATTAAATGTTCGTGCATAAAGACATGAAAGAAATTCCAATATATTATTGCGTTTAGGAATGTAGCAATTCGTTTCTGCTTCTTTTTCTTAATAGAGAAACATAAGCATAACAATAATAAAAGGTAGGTTTTTGCGTACGGTCTTTCTGGCCTACGGATCAGTGGACACAGCCAGTGCCGGATAAAGGGGGGAGCAAAAGAGGGCAAGTGCCCCGGGCGGTACTCAATAGGGGCGGCAAAAGTCGGCATGGTTCGTGTAATTTTAATTTGGTAATTTGGGAAGAAGGGCGGCAAAATACCAAATTTGCCCCCGTGCTAAAAACTTCTAGATCCGGCACTGCACGCAGCAAAATATCACAAGTAGCAGCCATCACAGATGATGAAGTGGGATATCAACAGAATACTCGACAGTGGCTGCCAAAACTGCATAACTACACAAAAAATGGGGTCATTTGGGGGGGGGGGGGATCTTTGAGCTTTATCGTGACCTACTTTCCAAGGTCACTACCATAAGAGAGCTGGAAGAGCGAGTACCCTTTGAGCTTCACCTACTCTCCGAGGTTACCGCCATATATATTGCAGGTGACTTTTGAATTTCACGTTAGCCTATTTTCCAAGGTCGAGCGACCTTTAACGCAGTATACATACTTTTGTGCAATTTCTGTTTTATTTAGAAGCGATCAAGCCGAAAATCCAATTAGCCAATCTGCAAGTTGACCGGACGCAGACAGATGCTGCTGTTGGAGAATGGCCCAAAAAATCGCTTCGTGCATAAAGGAAAGGAAGAAAATTAAAAAACCTCTTTAGCATCAATAGATAACATTTACATTTTAAGTAAGTTACACATATCATTATTCTTCTTATTAAGAGAGTAAGTCTTTCCTGGAATAACGTACCTAAGGTATTTCGATTTTCTAATTTGATGTTTAGTTCCCGGCACTCGTTCACTTTTATAGATGTTGTGTCTGCAACAATTCGCATTTGAAAGTGATTAATTGCAGACGTAGATGGCGCTCACCTGTACACGTAGTCTGGCTGAGAGAGTCTCATACATAAACTTATACTGGAGGAAAAGTTGAGATCGGTCTGCAGGCTAAACTTCGGTTCCATTAAGAGGGTGAATTCGGTTTGCGATTTGACGAATTCGGTATCCAGACGAATGTAGCCGTCGACGAACAAACCGGCGCTAGAACAATGTTTGTAAGCAATGTAGACGGTAGCGTTTCGGGAATTACGATTTTTCTATTAGGGAAACACCGTTTCGATTCCATAGTGAAAATTCAACTTTGCCGGAGAGATCAAAAGACGCCGAACCTTTAAGATCCATTTCACAAATGAATCCTGGAGCTAGCCTTAGGTATTGCAAGTGATTGTACGGCATTAATAGCGCCTAAAAGGATCAATTTGTATTGATTAAAATCGTCTGAAAACGCGTCTTACCTGGTACGCAGGTGTCATTTCCGATGCGGTACCCGACCAAACGTGCCCCATTAGTTCTCCTTGACCATTAAAGAACACAAACGGTCGTATTTGGGTTCCCATAATCGTGAGCTCAATACCGGCGGTAGCGGCCTCATCCGATTCAGCCCCTTCGGTCTCACTAGAAATTAGGCTAGCAAGGCCGCTGGTAAAGATGCCTAACTAAAACGGGACATCTACATTACTAGTTCTTCATCGCGACTCTTACCCGCAGTAGCTCTTGCCTAGCGTCCGACTTCTCCAACACAACGTCTACAATACCACGCTTGACAATTCCGCTTTGAATTTCTTGCACTGCAATTAAAGTACCGTTACTTGCGTCGCTCACCAAAAAGTTTCTCTTTAGCGCGGTGGACAATCCCCTTTCGGACAATGTGGCGTAGTTGTTCAACATGGAATCTCCTCGTATGATCGCCTGAATTTTTGCTTTAAAATCTGGACTTGACTCTGACATCATGTTCAATTTCTGCATAAGATACTGCAGCACCTCAAAACTTTTGCACTTGGTGGTAAGAAAGTAAATTAGCCTCTTCAGTAGGCAATCGGACGGATTCGCTTCCAACAAGATGTCTAGTGCCAACGTCCGACTACTAGTATCGTGCTTCCTATCCATTTGGAAAAATGTGGTCACGGCCGTCGACAAGATCTCCTCATTCCATTGCGACGGATGAAACGAAGCTAGCGCTTTCCACGCAAGAACCCGTTCCTTGTCGGTACCGTTCTTTAGAACTTCGAGCAATTTTGGTATCGTCGTGTTGGACTTTAGGTTCTTTAGCGCCCTAAGACTCGCGTACCTTTCATCGTCTTTCGCGTAGGACAAACCGTTCACGACCGTCTCTTCGGCCTCTTCATAAATCTGTAATTTACGCAATGAAAGTGTTGAGCCCAAGTAAGCACACGTACCTTGTAGTACTTATCAAAGTTGGGGGAAGTAGAGAGCTTATAAGACATTGTGGCGATTGTCAATAAAAGTGTTTCCTTTACTTTGTCTGGCATGTTTGCCAGCTTTCGGTATCTCCGAAGGAGGTCACTTAAAATTTCGGGATTGGTTTGGGGAGATACTGATAGTGACCACAAATATCGCTCGCTTCGTTCCTCGTGGTTTTTGTCATCAAAAAATAGCTGCTTCATCGCCGCTTGGTGAGACGCATCCGTTTGGATTATCCCCAGTAGGTCGTACAACTGGTTTCTACAATCAGATGGTAATTACAGTGATGAATATTGATGGATACCTACAAGATGGCATTGTTCTTTTTGTTGCCAAGTGTTTTCATAATATCCTCCTTGCTGCTAGTTCTTCCGATAGTGACCAGTCTTCCAATGATCTTCGATGAGTCTAAGGATCCGATGGCTTTTGACTTTAAATTGCTTTTACTTTCTTTCACTGCACTTCTAAATGTCATGGGCTCGGAGTGAAGAAATTCGCGTTCAGTCAAAAGAGATTCTTCAGTAAATACGTTTTTGTCCATTACGTTACTTATAACCTCGTCCATGGTGTTTCCCATCAGTTGGTCGGTAGTGGAAGAGTCCGTGAGCGCCAACGATTGGTGAATCACAACTTTGTTCCCCACGTTTTCCTTGGCGTTCAGTATCATTAAATGCTCCTCGCTCAGATTTATAGAGTGCAAATATCCCTGATCACCACCTAGCTCGTACGTTGCTATCCTGTTAGATTCCACTTTGGTGTTTAAGACGGGGTCCGGGTTGGAGTACGAAGGCAAATCAGAGGAGGAGCACGCCACTTTTGTCTTTGTAAAGGAGTGCGGTCCCAAGGATGTGTATTTCACATCGCACTGGCCGGAAGAATCAATTTCGCTAATTTCTTGATCCAAGGTTTGGAACTGAAAGGTAAAATAATGTCGATTGTTCCATTGAAAAGATGTGGGGGTACCTGCAGGAGACTGGCGAGGCCCTTCTTCAGGTTAATCAACGCGAGCTGCTCGTCTTTCCTTAGCAGAATCTTCTGGATTTTACCCTTGGTCCAATGGACTAAGAATGGCGAGTTTTTAAACGATTCCAGCTTTGAAGTATGCCACATGAAACCATCCGGCTTAGGGGCATGTCCTGATCGAATGTTTAGCTTTGGTGAAATTAACTGCAAAAAATATTAAACCAAATCAATAGACGAAGACTGCTTAACTGGCAAACATCGAGAGACTTAAAAACAAGAGCATTTACTAGGGTCGTACGTCTTCTGGGATTCTATCCGTAGCAAAGCTAAGTGTTTAAGGAATTCCCTTGGGGTTGGGAACCAAAGTACCCAAATGTTAATTTAAAATTCACTACCACAATTTGCATAAGCGGTAGCGAGATAAGGCATGCTACTCTAGGATTTGCAGATCCATAATGAAAGAATATAGCTGTGCAAGTCCAGAAGCTTGCAACATAGCCCTGGCAGCGTTCATGATGAACAGCCCATTTGATCTCTCGGATTGAGCAAACAAAACACTTCTTAGACTTGGACTTCTTCTTACAGTTAATAATTCCATAGTTTGCTTGAAATTATTGATTCATTTCATTTCGTCTCGTCTCGCAGTTATCATCAACGCGGCCATGGAATTATTACCATAAATTGTAAACTTCAAGGCAAAAATGAAATACTAAGTATTTGGTATCACTGGTTTTGTAATTTTTTTCTCTATCGAGTAACGTAAAAATCCAATATGGCGTTTGGTTTCTTACAATTATTTTTCTATATCTTTGAAAATAAATGACAGCCAGCACATTCTCTTTGCTCTTTGCCAATTGAAGCGACGTTGTATCTCGTTCGGTTTATGAGATCCCCATTTAAAAAAACCACCCTCTATAAATGATACCTACAGAAATAGACTGTAGAATTGAACCTTGATCGGACGCAGCAATAATTAAATAATTATTTTCATGGTGACAAACATGAATGTGTACTTAGTTAATAGTTATCTGATTAACCTAATATCGAGATTAAATATAACACAGGATGATACAAGGACAACTACAATTACCAGCTGGTTTCGTATGGACATTGGAATATGGAATTTTATAATCAGAGCTACCGTAACGATACAGTTACGATTTTATCTTGACAAATAAAAAACTTTGAACAGTCGGATACGAAGACCGGACGTTGTACCTATCTAAAAACCTCATTAAATGACTTCGCGATGGCATTTTTAGGGATTTTTTTCGAAAGAAAAAAAATTCCCATTTTTTGGACAATTTTTCTAAAGAAAAAAATTCTCCTGATGTAATGGTTTTGTCCGTCTGTCTCTTCCTCGTCTAACTTGAGAACGAAAAGAGATTTCTACGGGTTCAAGGATCAGTGTTATTGAACATGAGCCGATTAAAAGTCTGGTTTCCGAATGCGAACTGAATGGCACACATTGCTCTCCTGAAAATGGTGTGCGGTTCTTCGTATCTTGTTGAATTTGTTACCATCTGCCCGTATTACTCGAACCATCCAAATTCTAAACTGAGCTGCCACAATATAAAGTATACCGTAGCAGGGGGCAAACAGACAAACCAACCCTAATGCATGAAATTCTATTCTGGAAGTAATACGTTGGGGCGTTTTATAAACTAAATTGGTAAATCTACGTAATGTTTGATAAAATTCATGTGATTAGGCGCGCATTAAAATGATTATCGCAAATCTTGTTCGGTCAGATTATTAGATTATTTTTAAAAAATTTTAATTTAATGGTCGACCGTGCGGGATAATATGTCCAAACAAGCTTTGTAAGCTTTTCTTTCGTTCAGGGATTTTATTTTGATTTTTTTATGTTTCGGAATAAATGTTTGTCATTGTCAATCAATTAATTGTGTGTTTATTCGAATCCTTTGTGCGACCCAGATAGTGTTTTCATGTCAGATTTTTCTATTCGTGTCCAATCTTTATTTCAGGTGTGAATTTGGAATTTTCGGAACTTGATCGAGACAGTATTTCGTATTAGGATCGAGATTAGGATCTTAGGATAGGAGCTGCCGGATGTGTACCAGGAGATATTATAAAATTCTAAGTTTCAATTTTAATTTAGGCCGATTCAATTCCACTTTATTTTGCATTCTGACTGGTTTCAAAAAATTGGTTTTGTTTCCTACAAGTACAGGAAGCGGAAACCCTATAGGTACCGTGGCCACGTTTGGTCTTACTTTAACCCGAGCTTTAACCTTATTTAAACTGCAATTAACCGTGGTAACTTTCTGTTCACCCGAAGTAATGAGTGGGAATCTTAGTACCATAATCGAATCGTCTGTGGGTGTGGTTGCACGTTTATTTTTAGATCAAAGCAGATTAGTAATCACGATTAAATTGGCTTTCAAATAATGTGCCATTTGCCATAGGATTCCATTTAAAATTTTAGGGGTTAAGCTCCCTACGTAGAGGGGTGAAGACTTGGGTTCGCGATTTGTATTCCAAAAGTTGTCCACCTCGAATATAAAATTGACGTGTTCGAGGATTTTTCGAAATTTCTGAATTTAATACCCTAAAAGCCCTCTGTATACTTCTCGTTGGGCCACTCTGGTATAAGTCGAGGTATAAGTACTAGCGTGTGAAGATCGCCAAATTCAAGGCTATACCGAAACTCGTTAAATATCCCGCTTCGTATTTGAATTGGTAAACAAAACGCCACTTTAATTATGATTTACTCGTCTGAAACGCTCACTCGTACTAGTACTCGTATTTGCACATATGCCCTAGGGAGAGTTTCTTTTGTATATAACAATCTCTTCCTCTTCTAAATTATGTAACTGAAAACTGGGTTGATTTTTTTTACAAAACTGTGATGTTTTCGATTTGAAACGAGCTTCTGCTTGTATCAAACCAGTTATTATTACCTACTTTTGGTGATGTTTATGCCACAATTGTAATTGACCTTGCGTACGTACCACACCTAAAGCGAGCTGTCTTTATCGTAATTTCTTTAACAAGAAAAATTTGACACGTGTACTACTTCCATACTGTTATTTTTTGCACTCGATTAACTGTGACCCAACTCGTATTCGGACTCAGACGCGGTTTTCGTTTCTTGCGCAGAAGATTCTCGAGAACTCGTCTCAGGCGTCTATCTATCCCAGTTTTTCTTTTATCTCGCTATTTATGTTGCCGAAGCCAAAACAACGGACCCTACGCAAATCTCCGGACCGCGTCTCCTTTTAGGCAATAGCAGACCCGCATTTTCGTTTTGTTGGCCTCGTCTCGAGGGAACCGGCGGCATCCGCGTGTTCTAATTTTTCACGTTTACCACTATCACTGGTCCGCGCCATCCTATAGGGATGTCGGATAGGATGAAGCGGTACATATATTATGCAATTTTGCCCATATACACTGTGTCCAAGACAAGAGGGTGTCTACCGCAGGGATCTCGGAAACCATATAATACGACGGTCATATGAGAAAAAAAGTTGCGCAATTGAAGAGTTAAACCAGAAAATTTCGATTATTTCCGAGGATATGCCAGAAAAACTGAAATTTGCCGATATAGGTTTAATGTTTTTCTGATGTTATTTAAACACATACAAAAATATAACTTTTGGTTTCAACAGGATGGTGCACTCGCTCGAAACGCCCTAATCGTGTGAGATTAGCTATTGGACAAATTACCCATTGTCCAGGAAATTATTCCGATAGGTATTTTAGCACGATTAGGGGATTGTGTTAGGGTGCACCATCCTGTTGTAACCAACAGTTTCCAACTTTTGTTTTTTTTGTGTGCTGTACATCGTTGTATTCGTAATCAAAAATGCTACTCAATACAGTGTGTACTTTTTTGAAGGGCCATATAAAAAAATAAAATGGATGATGATTTCTTCGAAACGAAACGTTGTATTGAAAACGTTGTCTTATGGTAACGAGAAAGTGATTTCTATTTTTTTTGTATCTGTTCAAATATAACACCAGAAAAAAATGAACACGAAATCAACAAATTTCGTCTTTTCTGGCACAAATTCGGACGGACCATCGTCGGATCTTCTATATGGCTTCTATGCTTTTCCAGGGCTTTCTCTGCTCTTCCAATATACAGTGTGTCCCAGATCGCGTGGGATTGCATGGGTAACTTTGTTATTATTAAAGATAGAGAATTGGTTAAATGGGCAATGTTTTGCAGTTTTGGATGTTTATTTAAAATTTCCTTATGGAAATTCAAAATGTCGCATAGGTTCTACGTAATTTCAAAAAAACTAAAATTGGTCATTTCCTTGAATGTCTTATATCGTCGAAAGTATAAGAGATATAAAAAAAAAGTTTTATATAAAAGTGACTGTCTTTGATACGCTTAATTTAGAATTGATGTCAAAAAAAAATTCAAGATGGCCACTTTTGAGGAACATTTACCAGCTTCCTAAAGTTAAATGGGCGCCATAGGTATTGGATTTTTAGATTACTTGATCGATTTTTTAATTCTCTTTTCAACGAGCTATTATAACATAAGATTGAAAATAAAATACACAATATTCACAAGGGAGGACTAGGTATAAGAAGTTTTGGTGACATCTGTCTACCAGCTTTCATTGCTTCTGCTAATGGCGTGCACCCTCTTGTCTCTCAGATTCTCTCATTTATGGACAAAGAGGTACGCATTTTCCAATTTGATGAAGCGATGGAGGTATGGAATACAATCAACACTGATACTTCCACATTACCGAGTGTATAGAAAATTTGGGACAACATCAATACAAATAGAATAATTAATAATCATTTGTCAATGACCGACCCAATAGATAAAGCTAGAATACTGGAGATAATAATAATAATAATGGAGAAAGAATAATTCAACTTTCCGAACATGTGTTGCATTAAGACTAGGTTGTAAAATATTTGAAATACATCCATGTTCAAATTGTGAAGAAATAGTGAATGAAAAAGGATACCATGGCTTAGCTGCAGAGTGAACAACAAAGGTCGAATGTCACGACACACAGAGTTAAATCAAATAATTCACCGAGCACTTACTTCCATCAGCTTATCATCTACTTTGGAACCGGTTGGACTATATCGTTCTGATGGAAAACGACCTGATGGGATAACGCCTCGGATAACGCTTACAGCATATGCAAAAGGCCAATCCCTTGCATGGGACTGTACACGCCTGGACACTTTATCCCAAACAAACAGTA